TGCCTTCCAAATCATCTGTGTTCATGTTTAATGATTCTGATGATTTCAGAATAAAACCAGCTGTTTCTTTAGGTCTCCTCGGTTGGGTTATGCATCTCAAAATAGTGAACTATGGGCGATACTGAGCTAACAGGAGACCTTCTGGATAAATTTGAAGGCACAGAGCAGGAGATGGATATGAAAAGATTTCAAAGTCCTTAAATATTCTTTGGAACACAATCAAGCGGATCATTAAGAAGTGGAATGCATATGGCACCACCAAGACCTTGCCTTGATCAGGTCATCCCTCCAAAAGGGACGACCACGCACAGAGGATACTGACGGAAATACAGGATTTATTCCAAAGACTGGTCAGTGTGTGTACATCTCACAAAATGTCCCTAGCACTTCACAAATCTAAGCTGTGTGGGAGGCTGGCAAGAAAAAAGCCCATACTGATTCTTGTATGAAGTATGCAAAACAACATTGGGGATTCTAAAGCCATGATGAAAAAAGAAACATCTTGTAAAACTTTCTGGCTTGTGCTTGGCCAAAACCCAATACAGCCAGACCCACAGAACACCATCCCTACTGTGAAGCATGGTGGAGGCAGCATTCTGTCATAGGGGTGGTTGTCTACAGCAGGGACCGGAACACTCGCCAGGACTGAAGGGAAATTGGGTGAAGAAAAATACAGTTTCTTGAAGAAAACCTGCTACTCTCTGCAAGGAAGCTGAAATTGGGAAGGACGTTTACCTTTCAACATGACAACGATCTTACGCACACAGCCATAGCAACAATGGATTTGCTATAGAACAAAAGGTAAACATCCTCGAGTGGACCGTCAGAGCCCAGACCTCAGTCCAACAGCAAGTCTGTGGAATGACTTGAAGGTTGCGGTTTCTCAATGGTCGCCTTGTAATTTGACTGAGCTTTAACAGTTCTGTAAGGAGGAATAGGCAAACATCTAGGTGTGCTATGTTTGTACAAACATATCCAAGCAGAACTATGTCTCTACAACAACGAAAAGGTGCTTCTTCCAAATACTATCTCAGAGGTTCTACACTTATCTAACCCATTTTTCTTAAGTTTTCATTTGTACTTTTCGAAATGTTTGAGCATTTGTTTTTCACTTGGAGGTTGTGTGTTACAATGTATAAATAAAGAAAGAATTTTCTAATTCAGCCTCTTACTAGGGGGAATCGCTATATTGATCTTTTCACATAGGATAGTAAGGAAAACAGAGGTGAGAGAACCATTAAGGAACTAATGTGCTAAAAAACATGTTTATACATGTACAGGTACGGTCTAATATACAGATTTACAAATTCGGGGAAGCAGGCTATAGGAATGAGACTGAGCTCATGAGAAATAGAACAGGACAGACAATCAGTATAAATTGCAACATTTTATTCTATTCTACTAGAAGAACAGATTCATCCCACAAATGAATTAATCAAATTCAAGAAAGTGGTGGTCCAGATGGTTTAATCAATTAAGCAAAAATATAAAGGGAAAGACTCCAGGGTATAGATGACGTGGATTTAGGACAGGTATGTTTTGCTTAACTACGGTAGTTAGTTAACCAACAACAGTAATTGATATTTATCAATGACATATCAGAAGACAGAAATGTTACCCACAAATAATTATATGTAGGTACTGTGGTTGACTATACATTGCACAGTAATTTGTTTTAATTTCCCTAAAAATATCAGCCTTTTAGTTTGAGACCATAACCTGTCATTGATATTATGCGAGTGCACTTCAAAAATGAACATTTGGCAACAAAAATCTTAGTAACAGTCAAGAAATTAGAGAACTGTCTTCTATAAATAGAAAATTACACAATTACCTATTTAATCCTTTGTATTATCTTATTAAAATTGATGCAGTTTTAAACAAAATATTATTATAATGCTGCATTTTTACACAAAATACATATTTCATCAAATCATTTTCTTGAGAAGAAAGCTGTTTTATAAAAACAAGCCACAAAAGCCTATATTATATACTATATATTGTCCAGAGCTTGTCACAATACTATCCGTTTAAAATGCATTCTTGAACTCCATGTCAGAAAATAGTTTAGAACCTCTATCACACTAAAACAGAGGCAGATAATTTACATTAAAGAACCTGGAGGGACCACAGGCCTTACCGGACAAGCAGAGTAAAAAATTGATAGATACACCCTGGAGTGAAGAGCTTGTAGTTAAATTATATTTTTTTTTCACAAAAAGTTGCCCTTTCTGTAAAAAAACATTGTGTTCATAACCTCTTAAAAGTATTTCAAAATTTAGTCCGTGTATTGTCGGTGCGACTAATTAGTGCATTTAAGTCATGATAAAATCATTAACATCTTTATTTGTTGAAAGAGTGTAGAAAAGTTCCCTTGTCCAAAACCATAAACAGATAATTTTGATGCAGGATATCCAAGTCAGAAAATGTGACTTAGGTGCACTTATTACTATAACAGTCACTGAAATGGCTTTGAAAATAAATATTTTAAATTTAAGTCATTTTTTCCAGTTTCAATACTTGTTACATCCTTGACTTTTTAATGCAAATGTAACCAGCTGACCTGTTTATTTTAGTTTGTTTTGAAGTTTTAGGTTTCTGTATTAGCAATGCTTGTAATTATAGCCTACTACTATGAATTTTGTGATCAAAACTAGAATTATCTTTAATTGATCCTAGCATTTTCAATAACTACAGTCAAATATAGAATTGACATGGGCCTAAACAGGCAGAGAATAGTTGCAAGGATCAATATATCCCGGATGGGGCACCAACCCATTGCTTAACCCATTTGGTCGAAAACTGTCTGGAGCAAAAACATTAAGTCTCAATTGGACAATTTTAAATGGATAATTAAAAAAAAACTGACAGTATTGTTCAGTAATTTGGGAATAGATGATTAGATTGCTAGATAATATGATTGTATTGCAGGTAAAATAATCAATTATTTTTTTTCCCTTTGACATTATGGAATGTTGCCAATCAATAGGAAAAAGTGCAATTAAATACATTGTCCAAGTCTAAACCAGTCAGCTATTGTTGTCAGTACTCACTTTCCATTTTTACAATTGTACACACAATTAACTATTGTTTTAGAAGTAACTGCACCAAATAATGTATATTTACACAAGAATTCACCCATTAACATCTGTTTTGCTATAGTTATACCAACGAGCTCAATTAAGTGTGCAGTATAATAGTGCCATCTGGGGGTTGCATTTGATATCGCCGAAATCACAGAACCAGATCATTTTAATCTTTGACTCTGCTGAGATAGCTACATGCAGTAAACATTTTCTGCACTTAAAAAAGGAAAATGTTGAGAGATCAATGTCAAAAGTAAGATAAGAGTAATCGCAAATAAAAAAAAACATACAAAGGCAGAGAGCTCTCTGTAATGTTTGGATTCTAAGCTATAAAACAACAATGTGAAGAAGTGCATAGGGCTATGAGACCTTCAAGACTCATAGATTCAACATTCCAGATGGGGCATAACTGTTGTGCCTTCACTCAGATTACTTCAATAAAATGTCCAGCTGAATAAACAAGTACAAAACATGGAGACAAATGTATGCAGCTTTGAATGAATGTGTCAGCCTAGTAATTATTAATGTAGAACACTTTTTTTCCACCTGAACACGCTATATGACTTTGGACAGTCACCTCTTCAGAATATTAAGTTTTAAGAATAAATTGGAACAAAAGCCTTACCTAGTCTGGTAATTTTACCACTTCAAAGTATGGGTTTATATTAGAAAATACACAGAACATCATACAGAAAATAAAAAACACCAGAAATAGAAAAAAGACTGCATTAAAAGTGAATCAAATCAGTTTTTATTTTTAAAGTAAAAAAATGCAGTACTGGAAACCCTCCCATAACTGGAAACATAACATCTTTACCTAATGCTTTTTTGTCCCCAGAATAAAAATATGATACTAATTCTATGTACATAACATATACCATACAAAATGTATTCCAAAGGTCTATCGCTACCCAGTTTCCTAATAAATGAACACATATCACAAATTCTACAGATCAACTGTCAAAAACCACTGGATATGAAAATCTTATTAACACAGTGATGCATACATGAAAATCCCAACATTTCACCTAAACTACCTCATAATGTGCCTAAAACATTTTAACACTTCCAATTGCTCAGTTTTCATATAAAGTAATGCATATACTTTTACAATAAATAAAACCATCAGGCACACCCCAAACTCTAAAATACAGGTCCCAGTAGCACACACACAAATAAAACAAGTTGTATAAAAAAGGAAGCAAAACAGTTTATGAAATACTTTACAGAAAGCATATCAGTAAAAAAAAATCTGGGCAGCAAACTTTTTGGTGTCATGAAAACGATGCACTTCAGGTTTCCATATCTACTAAAGCTTTCCCAGTTAAGCATGTGAATTTTACAGATATATAGATTTGTATAAATATGTACACAACAAAAAATACTAAAATTCTCATAAAAAACATTCTACTTTATATATAAAAAAACATTAATGCTATGTGGGGAAGCTTATGTAGATAAACTTCAATAACTTAAAACAGAAGATTAAAACAAGTTACTGAAATCACACTGTGTTATAGCCCTATTTCAGTCCTTAACTTATAAACTAGGGGTTTACAACATATATAGCACCAGTAAAGACCACATAATAGTGCTACTGTACAATATGTGAAGTTATAAATATTAAGAAAAGCAAGGTACTGTACCATTTAAAAAATCTACATAATAAGTTAAAGCTTCAAGCAATATACATATTTACACTTTTAAATATATAATATCCAGAAATCAAGCAAAAAAGCTTTTTGCTACAGAGTGATGGGAAATGTTACCATTATGTATAGCAGTGAGTATCTGAATCAACTACTCATGACAGAGCAGTTATTGAATACAATAATCGAGAAATACCAGTATATACTCTAGCACATTCGTCAAGTAAACAGCATTCAGCTCAATAAAGCAGAAGACCAAATGAGGCAGGTTTAATGTTAGGTTAGCACCACTTTAATCGACATCACTAAAATCACTAACTGGTTCCCCCTGCACTCTACTCAGATGATTCATAGCTCGATCAAAGGCAGTCCTTACAGCTTTTCGAATACTTGAGGTTCGGCCCTCCATCATTTTGATCTTGTCGATGGTCTTGTCAATTCCAAGAGGGACCATTTTTGATTTAGGAAGCCATTGCCTGGTAAAATTAAATTATTAGTTAAGAACTACTATTTCAAGGTACAGTAATTTCTCACTGGAACAACACAGTAGAATGACGTTTTGACACATTTAGAAACCTCGTCAAAGCTGGCCATTTTGATTTTCCCCCTTTTATAGAGAAATGGCCAGCTCCAAAACCAGTTATGAAATGAATTTGAAATCAACTGGAAAGCTAAAGCTAATGTGAAAAAGAACTCAGATACACAGCTATTTTGTTTGAGGGTCAGAGGAAATGTTATTCACCAATATACTCCAACCTGAGGAAAATGACTGGCATAGGCCCCTTGCAGACGAAGACAGTTATGACACTTTCACAAGATTATGGATGCCCTCATTTATAAAATGTTGGCCCCCAGTGTCTTTCCTAATCTATTTTACCCTCCTTGTCACTGAAGTTCCAACCACTAGCCACGTCCTTAGTAAAATCAGAGATTATCATCCACTTTTGTGAGATATGGTCATGTACACATAGATGCATGAACATAAATGTGTGTTCAAACAAGACTATTATCTTTCCTGAAATAAGAATAATAAATTTTCATTTATATAAACTGTATTTTCCCAAATTATCATATATAATCTTAACCTATGATCACATCCTTCAATATGATATATTTGATATAAAAATGCATTACTGTATGCTTTGTAAAAATGTACTATACATGAAAAAACTCTACCCATTGTGATACATTTGGAAAAGTTATGTTATTCTCATTAAAAAAGGGGAAATGATGCTGTTCTTGATGGAGTAAATTAGAACAGCATACTGTCAATTATTTGTGTGATCTTATATGAAGCAGTTTATTCTACTGTTTCCAAAAATTCTTTTACAAAACTAAATATCTTCCAGTTTAACAAACAGATGAACAGTACTCATTTTACATGCTGCCAAAACCTACGGCTCCTGCATTTATGAAGACACAAAACAGCACATTCAAATGTTTCTGTTTTTGTAGAATTCTTTTTCAAGATGTAGAATCCTGGAATATTATTTCAAGTACACTACTTAATATGTGACTTAGACGCTACAAATTACAAAGATAAGGCGCACAGAAATAATTTTGCACTTTTAGGTTTCAATATTGGGGAAAATTTTGATTATGAGATGATCCTAGTTACTGTGATGTCTGGTAATCTTTCTGTCGGGTCAGTATTTAATGTTTTTTTCAGCTAAAAAATTATATTTATCTTCGATTCAGAGATAATCTTCTTCTTCTCAGTTTTAAGCTTGAAACAATACAATCTGAGTGCCTGGAGTCAATTTCTGTGGTACTTTAGCAGCTTAGAGCAGCTTCTGAGTTCTCTACTAAATTAAGTAGAGCACTCAGGGATATCAAAACAAATGAATTACTTTAAGTAGACAAACAGTAAAGGACTTACAAATACTGCACCTGGACTCTAAGGTGGGTAAGGTAACAGTTCAAAACCAAGCTCATTTTAGTACTGTAGCCCTCGCAAAATTTGTGGGCACACACCATTATGCTGCATAAATACAGTGAGTGCAATGTAGCAGGATCACAGACATCTGTGAATATGCCATCTTCTCCAACAATACAAAGCAGAGAGCAGTTCTGTTGCCATCACCACCTTGAAACAGTAACAAAAGCAACATACACTACACTTCTGCAGATGACACTGAAGCTCAGCAATATGAATGAATGGCTGGAGAGCACTCAAAAGGGCTGACATATTGCAACAAGATCAATGCACATCCATAAAAAGTGAGGGCTACAGGGTACTGTGGAACTCAGTTTTTGAAATGCTACCCCACTTAACTTACAGTCTCAATTTCACACCACTATATAGTCATCTGTTTGGCCAAATGAGAGGATCTTGAAGGTTGGAACTCTGGTGATGACAACAAGGTTCAAGTGGAGGTGCAGGCTGAAGGACCAACCACTTTTTTACCAGGGAGTCCATAACCTCGTAATACGGAGGCAAAATTAGGTAGATGTATTAGGGGACTATGATGAATAATAAGTCCTCCCCACCTGCGATGCATAATTGGTGCATAATTCACAAATTTAACTCACCATTGTACACCTCCACCACTTTTTGTAAATCAAACCTCGTTTAGAGCTTGTGTGAATTTAAGGTCAGAATAAGTTTCATATCCAGATTACTTACACCGACTCTGTTAATATTTTGTATTTTAGATAAATCAGCATCATTCTTATTTGAAAGCTACATACATATTTTGGAAACTTGCTCACAGCTGACATTGACAAAAGAGAAAGTCAGCATTTATTTTGCAGTACAGGATTATATTAATCTACCATCAAAACAGTTTTAAGAAAACCCCATTTTGTAAAGAATGTATGTGAACTGGACAAACATTTAATTTAACGTGTAGAATTATAAGTGTAAGTGAATTAAAGAAATGATCTTATGGAATACTTAGATATACATACATATTAAAATAACTACACTACAGAAAGACAATGTTTCTTACCAGCTCCTTTTGTTGTCAAAAAAGAGAACAAGAAAAAGTTTCTCTCCAGACTTAAACTGCATTTGTTCGCCTATTTTAAGGACATCCATAGGTGGTATTGGTATTGATACCCCATTATGATGACAACCAACTCTTGGCATTTTGGGGTCTATTATCTATAACAGAAAGAAGAAAGATGTACACATATATATCTCTGCAATATACATGATTCTCAATTGATGCACATTTACTACTAATAAGGTGTACCAAAAGAAGGCAATTTTGCTTCACTGTAAACCCCTACACTATGAAGTCATAGGTTTAACATCTGGGCACCACTAAAACAGCTAGATACACAGGAGATCAAAAAAGACCTAATATTAAAATACACTGATCATAGGTTGCTTATAGGCTACAGTGATTTCAGTTTAAAAAGAAAATAAAATGTTTAAGCTTCCTTGTTAACAGTTAGAGAAAAGCTCTTACAAAACACTATTTTACCACGGACTGTGAACTAATGTTACTGTGTGGCTACAATGGAAATAAGCTGCCACCATTGAAGCTCCAATTATTACCATATCAATAACTATTGTGACCACTATACAAGGTATGAGGCAACACAGAAGGCTGGTATTTGCCAATTATAAGGTTTCTCGCCCTATATAAATACTTGGAATAAACAACTTCAATAAAGGCCTAAATGCTTTTGATGTTTTCCATTAAGCTATTTTTGCGACTTACTTTTCCAAATTACATAAAATATGCTGTAATGTTTTAAAGTTACCAAACGCTTGTTGAAAGACATGGTAGGACAGCACTAATGCATTATGTTTTGGGAAGAGTTCTTCATTTTAAACATATCCTTGTGGCATTATTCAAAACGTGTGAATTTGGCAAGGCACCTTATTATAACTGTCACTGAACAGTAATAAAGGCATACCTTTCCGTGATCACAAGATTTTGATTAACACATGAACCTGACATAAATGTTCATTTAGTCGTGTAGTTCACCTTCAATCAAATTGTGACCAAAAACAGCCCTTATTGATTCTAGTATACATTTTCAACAATTTTCAAAAGTTCATTTTCAAAGCATATCAGAATTAAAATATAATAGCAGATTGTTTGGTATTGGATTTCAAAAGCAAATACTATAATTAAGAAACAGATCTCAGTATTTTCCCCTTGACTACAGCCTTCAGTGCAGTACTCCTGATGATTAGCTAAAACAATTATGCTCTATTTTGTAGCCTCGTTTAAAAAAATAGAAATCACAGTACCCTTGTCCAAGAGGTGTCTTGAATTTACCATTGTTAAATGGCTATTAAAAGCTACTACTAACATGCAGAAAAAGAACTCCTTAGAAAAAGACCAATGAATACACTGGGCATTTTGTCAACAATATTTTAGAATTAAAACATCTAGCTCATTATCTTTAGTAATGGCTATGCATATATACAAATTCTTGCTATTATGCTAAAACACTAAATTATTAAATGCTGTAATAAATGGTAGTTATAGAACTACCGAATCTAAAGTTAGATTTAGATTCACTCTAAAAGTAAAACAAGTGAATCTAAATTTGATACATTTTATGTTATCCAATTAACAGTAAGTATAAAAACCTAAAAGATAAAGACTTCATTCAATATCATACAATGAGAGTTAAGTTACACAGACTAAAAAAAGAAAAACATGACTATATGGACCTTGCATATATAATAAAGCTTTAATTCATATCTACAGTAGTAGCAATAAAATATATTCTTAACAGAAAGTAGAAAAATGCAAGTTAACTTACCAGGGCAGGATACGATGGATATCCACTACACTTTGCCCAAACTAGTTTTAATGGCTCCAGAACAACTGATGCAGCATTAGCAGGCATCCATATATTGCTGTTGCCAACTTCTATGAGAGCAGGAATAACGATAATCAAATTATGAGGAGTTCACTGAAATACAGAGCAAAGTTCTTCCAAGCTATGCTTATAAAGACAGAACAGTAATAACACTTCATTTACACAAGTAGAAACCTCAGTGATTCACAACACTTTGCTTGATGCACAGAAAATGTCAAAACTAATAACCTATAAACCAAATGACTATCAATGTAGCAACACTATTTTCCAAAAAACATCCATGTTCAATGCAATCAGTGTTCATTTTACAGTCCATACTTTGTCATGGGTGAGCAAATGTTGCCTTCAAGTCATTTCAGGTCCTGCAATATCAACTGGCACCTTGGTAATATAATGTAAGGAACATCTTTAATAATATCAGTGTAAACAGTCAAGAATATTACTATGATGAATTAACAGCATAATGTCAACCTGAAAAAACAACATGTACAGAATAAATTCATTTCTTCCCTAGACACTGCAAAACACTAAATTTGTTGATTTCAAATGATAAAACTCCCAGAGGAAAAAAATAGAAACAACATGAATATCTATCAAATGATACAAAAGCAAACGATACTTAAAAAAATTGTACCATCAAACTTTTAAACCAAAGTTTTTTTTGAAGATTCCTTACCAATGATGCAATCTGATCAAAGGTTTTGGGCAAAAATCTGAAAGCAAATATTTAACCTACCCGCTGCAATTCTTGCAGCTTTGGCAAAGTTTCCAGTTTCAATACAAGCGATCAGCTCATTTTTGTCTTCAATAGTATTTCTCCGCACAAGGGCAGGTTTTCCTTTGCCACACTTGGGAAGGCTGAAACTTGATATTAATAGAATTTATTTTAGTGTCTGAATTTTCTGCATTAAAAGAAAAACTCCCACACATTCTTAAGACTTTAATTACTCGAGTAAACCTGATTATTTGTATTAACATGAAATATTGCTCTTATCATTGTTTACTAATTAAAAAAACAAATCAAACAGGATATTTTTGCAGGATTCAGATGGCATTTTTAAAAGTTATCAACCCATACATATTCTGAAGCCTGAACACATTTACTGAGAGGAGGAACAAGATGAAACACCAGTAAAATAGCTGTACATGTACGCCTTTTATAGGTTACTTAAATAGATTCACCTTTTCAGGGTTTTTTTTAGCACAGTTTCAAGAACGGTCCATTGATTGTAACAACCATTGTACGTTATATTACGGCTTAAGTTAAGTTACGCAACTCCAAGCTCAGCTAGAACAAACCAGGACTGGTACCCCTTAACTTCTGGGTCAAATAATTATACATGCTTGTTAAAGCCTTAATCAGAACTCATAAGATTAAAATTGTGAGTAGCAAAAGAGTATTAAAATGATATTTTTTCCTTGAAAGGCCTTCAATGCCTTAATAGAAAGTTTCATATAATGAGGAGTATACTGCCAGGGGCAGCAGCACCACAGACTAACGGTTTAGGTCCTGGGGTCCCATAGGAGAGTTGTGGATTCAAATCCTGAATAGGTTTCCTTAAGATATTTCACATGGAATAATCCTTTTGTAAATGTAGGTACTCTTCAGGCAATTTGTTCTAATTAGACCTAGTTAAAAATGATCTTATAAGACCATCACTTAGGAATAGCAACGTATAAATTGAGAAAGAGAAAAACAAGCAACACCATAGTATTCTAGAAGAACTTTCTAACTACATGAGGAAATACAATACCTTGTATTGCATAACAGACTCCCACTTGAAGATATGCTGGATTCGGAAGCACATCTACGCCGAGGTTCAAGTTTTCTGGCTGGAGTGAGTTCTTTGAGTTCCTCATTCCCATAACCATTTGAAAGCCCTAAAAAAACAGAACACTTTTTTCTTAGGTTGTGTTTAAGTATCTAAAATCTGACAACAATAACACTGGAGATGGTTTTAAGTGGGCAAGAAAACTAAAGGAAAACCATTTTTTATTACACAATTACAATTACAACAAATTCATAAGTTGTTTGAATAATTTGAGACACCAATATAGTTACAACTAAGCTGTAAATGGAATCACACATCTTACCAATTTAACAGTTTACATTAACTCTAAATAAATATCTCAACAAATAACTAAGATGGGATTGTCAGCTAATAAATTCTGAACATTATTTGGTGTCTAGATACTAGGTTTTTATAAGTTGCTTAGAACGCAAAAATTGAACTTTGAGTAGGTTTACCTGTATCAAAGCGCTTCACAGGTGACTCTTCTTCTTCACTTTCTCCACATGCACTTCTGGACCTCTTCCTTGGCTGGAGAAGAGTCTCCAATCTTGGAATAACCACAGACAAAAACGTTTTGGTTCCTAGCTGTGGAGAACTAGGCTGTGCGTCACTGATTTTTCCAGGTTTTTGCGGACTTACACTTTTAGATTTTCGAAAAAGTATGGATGTTCGCCTGTTGACGTCACTTGAGGATTCTGCTAATGTAGATGTTGCCACCACACTGACATCACTCTCTGCAAGCAAGTGTTCAGGAGTATGTCCATTTAATATGTCCTTTGGTGGAGAAATACCACACATTTCATTGTCAAACTTAACACGTTTATGCAATTTATTGTTCTCAGGGCTAGGCTCAATTGGTTTGAGTGTGGGTGGTTCTGAATTACTGTCGGAATTTAGAGGAGGTGGCAAAGAGTCAGATGGTTCTAGCTTTGGTGGTAATGACTTGTCTCCTGTAAAACAAAATGACAATACCTGCAAATTATGAAAAGTCGTAACATGGAATAATAAGCAATGAACCGTTAAGTATTTTCTGGTACACAAGCAAACATTTAACTTGATTGGATGTATATAAATAAATTCCTTGATTCCATTGTTAAAATCTTGAACAATTTGCCATATTGATAATATTTCGGTCTAAATTACATAATGAAAGTAAGGTTGTCCAAGCATATAAATTTGAATCAGTTCCTAAAAAAGGTTTGTAAGTTTCTCAAGATAATATTCAGAAGAGCTACAAACCATTACTGGGAAAACAACTGGAAATCCCCCAAACAATTGTCACATTAAAATTGTCTAAATGTCCAATGAGGTCATTTAAATGAAAGATTTATGCACATTTGTGTTTGAAAGCAACACACCACTTTAAGGTCAAGCAGAATTCACAGCTAAAGTTCAGTAGAACAACAGATACCAGTACTACATTCTTTTCATATTTGTTTTTCTGGAAATAAATGCAAGTTCACTTATTGGCACAGTCTTAAAAAACAAATTCACACAAGTTGAAAAGTTACTTATAATTTGCAACCGTTTTTTATGAAAAAAAATATAGATTCTAACACCAGTTACAAGGGGATTCTTAAAATGTTTTGGCAAAAGATCAAGAGGTTTTAAAATAAACAGACGTCATGCACCATTATAATCGTAGCTTATGATTTTTGCAATGTACATATTTTTTCTAATTTTAGCAATACTGGAAAATGTATACATACCGTCTTCTTCTGTGTTTTGTCCTGTAGATGGAATTTCTTCAACAGATAATTTACTCAGTTCTAATTGAGCAGACTGAGTCCTCCTTAGGCTGATTTCATATCGAATGTTACCAATTTCCTTTTTTAATAACTTGGTTCGTTTGTTCCGAGATGCACTTGACTTCATAGCACATGTCAAGTCGAGTTTCTCAAGGAGTTCCTTAAGCTGTTCTTCTAGGGACATGTGCTCACGGTTTACTGGATTTAGCAGCCGATCCACTATGAAACAAAGCAAAAAAACATTTCACCAAAGATGCTCCCCACTTTTATCACGCATGTGATTAAGCATAAATTATATTGATGCATAAAGAAAATATATTATAACATTTTATATCAACAGCTAATTGAGCACTAAGAAAATGTTATTTACATTTCAGCAGGCAGATAGTATACCAAAACGATATTGCTCCCTGGGATAAAACAATGTTAAAATCAATATTGGCATTTGAGCTATGAACCCATTTAAACAACCACAGTTTAAAAATCTTTTCATCCACTGTTTTAAAAACAGTCTAACTGTTCACACCACTCAACCACATGGTGCTGGAAAACTGAAGGTTGCTATTGGCAAAACTGAATGTGTCCTGTCTTTGAAAAGTTGCCTGGAGAATAAGATGTGTTATTTCAACAACCAGAACAGTTCAGAGAAACAGTGTAAAGGACATGACATGTTCCAGTAAGAAGAAGGCCACATCCTAGGACCATTGCATGTCTGACACATCTATGCAATTGCTTTCAGACTGCACTCAGGACAGCATAAGAAATTACAGAAAGAATTAGCCCATGCATCAATAGAAAGACTGCAGTTCTGCTGTCAGGATGAAAAACCTCTACTACTTAGAAGCTGTCGGGGGCAAAGCTAACAGCCAAAATCAACATCTTTCAAGGGGGCTGAGAGTGGTGGAGTGCTTTACTCACAGATGAATGCTGTTTTGCCCTTGACAGACCTGGTAGAATAAACTTTGTGTGTGGAGTGGTCATCTTGAGCATCATGCCGAGTACTACTTTGTTTGAGTCAAGTGGTAGAAGTGTTATATAGGGAGCAATTTCAAAATTTCACAGAGAAGAAACTACATTAGCACAAATTACAGAGCAACACGTCAAGATCTTGCCGTAGCTAGCCTGTTCTCCTGACATGAGTAAAAAAGAAAATCTATGGGACCAACTCAATATCATCGTCATAACAGACCAACCTTCATAGGCTGGTTAACTGCTATGCAAAGAGTGGCAGAACTCTCATGAAGGTAATCATTTTTCTACTTCAATTCTGCCAGGACTGTCTTAAGGACATTTTTATTATGTCAAATTTCATACTGAAAACTAATGATTGTGACATTTTTTCCCACATTTTGTGTATTTGATTAAATATTTGATCAAATCCATAAGACCCAAGTGTAGGTTTGTTTGCATCAATGTAACCATAACATTCTAGGACAAAAACTGTATAGAACAGGCTGCAAGAAAAACTTTTCCACACAAACCATCCGTTACACTAACAGAGGTTACGCAGGTGTGAACCTGGCCATGAAGACTGGATGTGAGACTTTCTAGGAAAAGCTAAGGTTGCTACTGGATAAGATGTTAGTGGGACCAATAGAAAGCATTCATCCTACGGCCTGTGTGGGTCCTAATGCCCCAGTATAGCGAGCAGAAGTTGCCATCCTTCAGAAAACTGAGGTCCTGACTCTCCTTGGTCATTAAAAATCCAAAGTTGGTTCTCGAAAAGATTAGGGGTATTAACCCTGCTGTCCTGACCCAATCCCCCCCATCCTTTACCAAGCCTCCTAATAATCCCCATATATCAATTGGCTGTATTACTCTGTTCTCCTTGCTGATAGTTGATGTGTGGTGAGTGCTGTTGCATCTTCTAGGTGGGTGCTGCTCATTGATGGTGGGTGACAGGAGTTCCCCACCGCCTGTAAAGTACTTTTGAGTATAGTATCCTAAAAAGCGCTACATGAATGTAAGGAGCTATAATTATTAAAATGAGTACATATGAAAACCATAAAAAGACCAAACAACCATTAAAATTAGTAAAAAGATAAGTAAACATTACCGTCTTCCCACGAAAATGGTGGTAGTGGTTCGATCTTTGGTGGTTCAGGCAAGTGCATTCCTGTTTCATAATCAAACCCTATACAATCAGCATCGCGACGGCTTTGCCTCAGAACAGAACCTCCTTGGTCTCTTAAACGTACAGCTGCTCTGTAAAATATTGTGTCCTTTGCATTGTATTTCATGCAGTTTTCAATGATAAGGTTAAAATCCTCCTCAAATTCATCAAGGTTTTTATATCCTTGAGCTTCAATTCTTTTTCTCATTGTTGAGAAGTCCATTGGGTGTTTAATATGGTCCAAGTAATCAGGTACCTGGAAGGCAACAGTAAATGAAAACAGTCAACAAGCTACATACAAATGTATCGCAAATTAAAAATGAAAAACAGAACAAATATAAAAGTGGAAACTAAGTGGAAGTGAATTTAAAAGTGAAAATAGGAGACTACCAAAAGGGTTGTCTGAGCATGCAACTGGTTGTCCAGCCAGTTGATGACATTGACAGACAAGCTTTTAGGACCAATTAGCCTCCACCAATCTGTAACTGTTTTTGTTTTAACTAACATACCATTTGCATCATAAGTGTATACACTGAATTTATTAATAGCATTTAAACAAACCCTCCATTTACTGAGGATTCACTACTCGTAAGTAATGTAAAATATTTATTTACTTCCTCCCACTTATCAGTTGTAAATTTTATGCAGCTGTTTAATTGAAACCCTAAGAAAGCCTGCAAACAACAGGAGCCCATTTGGCCAATCTTAGTTGTTTGTCAGTGAAGCAAACTAATTTTTTCTAAACTAAAAAACTACAATCACCTTATACTTGTTTAGATTGCAGTGATTTTAAATATATTGTACATAACATTAAGTCTTTTTCTGAGCAAATCTAGCAAAAGGTCAAAGAAATAGGCAACAATTTATAAATGCATTTGTTATTAATTTAGTTGCAGCATCAGGGCTCCAGACTGTGACTGAAATGGCTGCAAATGAGGCAATAAATTAAAATCTAGTCACCATTAGCAACAGACACCAAAACTTTATTTTCTGTCGATGTGTGGTCAAATTTCATCAGGTTATGAGGTGTTACTTAATTCCATCTTTAGAGCGCACGCCTTTCCATCCCTTCATCACAGCACACAGCAGTGACTGTTGGTTAAAAGGCAGCAAGCTAAGATGTTAGGCACCAGAACGCAGGCTACTGCAAACGTTCCACATGCTAGCTGATCCGCTAACAATGACGAAGCGTAAAATTACAGACTTTTTAAAGAGTTTGATGCATCTTCCGGTGGATCTTCAACCACTGCAATGGATCCTCAATTTATCCAGCGAACTTAATGCGAGCATGGACGACAATGCATCTGAACAACTGTCAAAATCTAGCGTTTTAAACAAATGATGTATTGCGACTTTTGTTCTAAAGCCGGTCAGGGAGTTGTAGGGAAAACTGCAAATAATTTCAAAGGGGCGAATCGTTTCAAAAGAAGCGGTAAAAAACATGGAGAGTCAGAAGCATACAAATACTCGTGATTGTGTAATTGGGAAGTGTGCCCCAAGGCAGACACCTTGAGCCTGGGCTGTGTCTCACGCCTGTCAAAAAAACAGCTGAGAAAGACTAAGAACTGAAAATGAAATTTAATGCAGTCTACATGATCACACGCGAGGAATTACCGTTCACAAAATATGCCTCCCAAATCTTGCTAATAAAAAAAGAACAGAATACATGTATCAAACACATATGATTACGACACTGCATGTTTGGAGTTTATTGGATGCATTGCAGACAAACTTAAAGCGCAAACACTAAGTGGGGCTGCAAAGGCAGTGGAGATTGCTCATCAAAGGCCAGTTTGCAGACATGTCCTACAATAGTTTGTGGGAGGTCATCTTAACAAAAGAGCCTCACTGTACAGCTTTCAGTAATGTTTTGCATTTAGTTCAGATCATGGTTGTGCTAGCCATATCAGCAGCACAGTGTGAATGGGGCATTTCTGCACAAAACAGAAGAAAATCAAAAGCACACAATTCACTTAATATCTCAACACTGGAGGATTTAATCAGGATCAGCTCAGAAGGCCCTTCACTTGAGCAGTTTGATCCAGAGCCCTGTGTGTAGTGCTGGCTCAGCTCAAACAAGAGGAAGAGGAGGTCTCAGTATACAGGTTGGCCAAGAGACACTGGCTCAGAATCTGATGAGCAGACACTCCATTTGTGACTGTATATAGTTTTAATGTTCTAACAGAGTACATAGTTTAAAAGTTTGAACAAAAGGCCAATCAGCCATCAGAGGTCAGGCACAATAGAGGAGAGCAAGAATCAGGCAATAAAAGAGGAGGACAGACCTACAGGCATAGAACAGAGGACACAGTAAGTCTTTTTCATGTTAATATGAACTATTTTCATTCTGTAATTTGGCAACTAAAAAAAAAGGTAATTTGGCAAAATGTTTCATTTTAAAAAAGAAATGTTTTTAGTCTGGAGCACCGAGCATAAAACCAGACAATAAAATGGTTTCATATACTTTATTAACTAAGGAGTAAAAGAACATAGCCTTTAAAGTTGACCCCTTTCAGATTTAATTTTGAAAACTAATCCCATCAAAATAATTTTACGGTTTTATACTTTAAAGCATTTTTCTCAAAATATGGTAGTATGAACAAAATTCAACTGTGAAAAGAATCTCAAGTCTCGTAAAGTGATGTGTAATGTGATCCGTTTATACCTACTTAAAAATCACTTTTTAATTAAGCTATGACATAAAAGTTAAACAACACACCTCTTTAAGGCTTACTGGCTGCGCAAAAATTTTAGCAGGATCCTTTTCCTGAAGCTGGTCAAGAACTGAACGCAGGAGGACTGTAAAAGGCGTCAGTTGCAGCTCCATAGCAACCTGTTGCACTTTAACCTGTTTAACAACAAAACAGTACATGAAATCAAAAGTTAACATAAAAACAGTAAACTACTGCAGAAGGAACTTCCCATTTAACTCCACAAGTAACAAAAACTAAACTTCCCACAAAATACAGACATGGATCAACTGTGTTAAGTATCTACTGGAGGTATTCATATTGTTCAGCAAAAGCCTTGTCAAATACTAAGTCTAGCATAACAACTATAACATTTACAGTGCTTTGCAAGTATTCAGACCCTTTCCTACAGTATTCATTTTTTTAAATTACAAAATGATGCACATTTTTTAAAATGTATTTTATTCAAAACCTAAATGCTTAAACTGAAGACATCCAAGTATAAAATATGGTACAGTAAATAATGTTTGCCTATTCTTCCACATGGCATGATGCAGTCACCAACATGTTTGACTGCAGGGATGGTGTCAAGTAGGAGCTGCATTGTGGATTACTTGGTGCTTTGTTGCAAACTCCAAGCGAGATACAAAATGGGTTTTCCACTCTGTGAAGGCCACCTATATGGGATATTGTTGAATGGAGCACATTTTCTCCTATCTCACCCCATAGATCTTTCTCACTCTTAGTCACTTGTGGCCTCACTACAACGCCACTCACCAGCTTCTTCCTTGCCCAACTACTTATTTTGGATGGATAGTCTGATCTGATGGTATATTGTCCGGGTGGTATGATACACATTCCATTGCTCTATGACTGAGTAAACTGTGCTCACAGTGATATTCAAAGTCTTTTTTGATTTTTTTTGTATCCCTCTCCCGATCGGTTTTCTGAATTACTTTTTCCCCACAGAGCTCCTTAAGCTTAACTGTTGAGTCTTGAAATGCACTACATGACCAAGGAACCTCACAGAGACAAGCACTGTTATTCTGAAATGATGGGAACCACTATTAATGCATAGACAGAGGCAACTCAACTATTTATGTGGCTTATTAAGCTAGTTTTCTGCACCTAAATTTAGGTGTGCTACATCAAAGAGTTTTAATACTTATGCAATCATAAGTAACCTTCCCATTTCTTTCGTATTACTTAACTATTTACATTTTTATATTCCTAGCTCTGAATGTGTGAAGTAAGTTTTATATATAACAAATATTTAGGACTAACTCAAAGTTTCATGATTGCAAACTTTATACAAAACAACGTGAATGTGAAAACAACAAGGGTCACGTTATTTCGCCAAGGCGCTGTTGGTGTTCTTTGGTTCTACTTTCCTTCTACCTCCCAAAATGCATCTTTAAATTGGTAAATGCAAAGAAATAGATGCAATAAATACACAATTTTGTTAACACTACTAGAGAACAGTAAACAGATACTCCAAAAGTGCAGTTTAATTTCTGAAATACCTCTTCTCTTTTTAATTTTTCTCGCTTGCGAATCAATTCTACCAACAATCGAGCTCTCTCTAGGTCATGACGAAGCCTGTGCCAGTATTTTAATTGTTCCTTCAAAACACGGTTTTCTTCGTCATTTTCTCTCTGTGAAATAAAACAATAACAAGGAAACTTTATACTGAGAAATTAAAAAGTTTACTTAACAAATAGCATTTGACATATCAAAATCATTATCGAACACTTTTCAAACGTACTGAACAACAAACTTTATGTGCTAACATATGCAAATATCAGTATAAAGAGACTACCAATTGTTTAATTGACCTGATTTGCTTAAATGTAAAACAATGTTGCACAATTAGAATAAAATAAATTATCAAACATCTTTACACAGCATAATTTGTTTCAGTAAACATTTCTGCATACCCAAAAGACAATACAATATTTCAGAATTAAGACAAAAATGATTCTATAAGTCACTATATACATAAAGAATAGTTCCTACTCTTGTAACTTGAATAGTACCTTGAAATAGTGCAATTTTATATTAAAATTAAGTAATCCAGAATAAGAACCGTTATACACAAGATCAGCAAAAACTCTCCCTGTGATGTTTTTAAGGTTCATCAAAATAAATTCTATAACACTAACCAGAGTTCTTTTAAACTCTCCCTTAAGTACAGTCTGCTTCTGAGGTCTATTATGTCACATAATTAATCAGTTCTTTATTCATAATAATTGGACAATGGACAACATTCTAAGCATAGTACATTTTTATACCTAAGCTTTTTATATTTTACTGAATACAATCACATAACTCATTGAGAGGGTTGAAATAAAAAGTAATTTCTGAGCTTACCTGCTGAATATTTCTCTGTGACTGCAGGTTTGATTGTAAACGTCGTAGTAGGGGAACACCATTTCTGGACTGCCTCTTCAAGGTCCAGTAATTCAATATGCGTTCAATAAAAATCTTTTTTCTCTGAACAGCAACTTGATTGAGAATTTTGTTTAACCTAAAAACAAAGCAGGATAAGTAGTTGTATATTACAGAAATGTATGTGTTACTGTTGCGAGATGTTTTGGAAGTGCTTAGAACAATCTACAGCCATGCATAGCCAAAAGCTTTCCCATTTGTATTGACAGAAGATTCACGGATATGCACGTCTTTTAAATGTTACTTTAGCACTACAAGCACAAGACCTGTTTCATTTCCTGGGAGTGACAATGCAGATGATCAAGTGCATTATTTTCTAAGTCATCATTTTTCTTCCTTGCTCTCCATTTTCTGAAACTGAAAAAATATAAAGGAACTGAACACAAAAGAACAGAGCTCACTTGCTGCCACTCTTCTCAGTAGCTGTTGGAAAGTACAATTATAGTGGACCACAAAGCACATGGAAGTTAAACCTGGATATCTATCAGCAAGATCATGTCTATATTATACTTCATCTAGGCTTCAGATCCAACATGCTGATGAGCAGGAAATCTTATCAATCTGAATTTTTATTTCACTGTTAGCACAACTAACCAGTTAATTTATAAGAAGGCTCCACAGCCGAAACGTTGTGTTCTCTTTCTTCTTCTTTTTTCAGCATGGAATAAACCTATTACTTGTTCTTTTGCAGCCTACGCATGCTGACGCAGCTACCCACCTGAACTACAAATTTATAAGTTATACTTATAATTAATTGCATCTGCAATATCAACAAAGCGTTAACTTGTCAGAGCTTCGTGGGTACAAAATTGATGTTTTTCTTGCCAATTAACACAAATGAACCCTGCCTCTATAAGGCATGCAATATAGAAGCCAGTTTGATTCCAATAGGGATTTAGCCTTCAGCCCTTTGGTATTCAGTATTAACAAACATTAAGAAATAACCAACCTTAAGTATTTTTCGGGAAAAAGAGTTCCATTATAATGACGCTACATATATACAGATAAAGAAACATGGAATTTTATTACATACCTTCGGTCTCAGTACTACCTGGTAATAGTCTGACTGCGCGCATTGTAATGATATGAAAGCATTTCAACTAAACTTAATGATTTGCACAGCTGTAAGATTTATGTAATCACTGCACTTTTTGAAATATCTTTAAATCTTTAAGAACCTATAAGAACTTCTGATAAACTTACCTTTGAGGAGGAATACTTGGCACAGACACTGCTGGAACAGCTGCCAAAGGTTCAACTAGAGCTTTTTTACTCTTTTTATTTTTTTGCCTGCCTTTCAATCTCGTCCTTCCAGTTTTCTTCTCTCCTTTCTGACAAAGTCCATTCTTTGTACTGGTTTCTTCATAGATTGTTAAAGGTCTTCTAACACAGCCTGGAGGAGTGTGGGCATCACAGTAGGCAGTTTTTTTCACTGAAAATGTTGTTCCTGTATCTGTTACTTCTTTAACAGGCTCCATTTTCATGTAAAGGCCAGCTTTTTGAGCACAACTTACATGAAATGCTGTGTAACAATTTGCTTTATGGCACTGAATGCAAGCCCCGACTCCTTTCTGCTTACAGAGGTAGCAAGTCAATTTCCACCTGGCTGGAGGAATGTTCTTTACACCATCAATGGGCTCAATGAAAACCGTGTTGGCAAAGCCAACTTCAGGAACCCATAGAGCACAGACAACATGTCCCCATCGATCATCGTCAGTCTTTTTGAAAGCACCGCCCTTGTTTGGGCATAGCACACAATCTACAGGCTGGGAAGGAGACTGTAAGCAATGACGACAAAGCCACTGCCCTTCAGGGATGTATGGCACTCCGTAACACTCCTGGTGAACAGCTAGATTGCACATGTCACAAAATAAAATGACATTACTGTTCTGGCATTCACCATCCATACATATGCAGCAAACAGCATCCTCATCAATGAGAGACTGAGGATCACCTTGGTTCTGGCTCTCAAAGAAAGACTCCTTCTCAAATCTATCCATGAGGAATTCAAACACATTCTGCGACACAACACTCAACCCCTCGTTTCTACGCTTTTCATTCACCAGTTCTAACCATGCATAGTCTTCTTCATCCATATCGTACTCTACCTCCTTATCTAGTTCCTCTGGTGATTTTTCAATAAATTTATAATATGACGGGGGTCTGCGAGGGGCTGGAGGTGGATTATACTCAACAATGCGAATTTTGGGCTCCGGGAGAGTGCTTCCTGATGCTTGTACCCCATGAGCATTCACCAGAACAGCACTCTTCTTTTTTAGATTGTTTTTAAGTCTTTTTGATCTTACCAGTATTTGTGGTCTTTCACTGTTCTCTTTATTGCTATTACATTCACTTAGCTCCTGAGCGGTGAGGTCATCTTCTGATATAATCTCCAGGGCATCAAAAATACTTATTCTGTGCACACGACCTTCAATCTCCAGTTCCACCATTCGCTGTGCTTGAGCATACGTCAGCGTTTCCCGCGTAGGAGAATGCTTGATGTTGCAGGGCGAAGTGGACTGTCTTGTTGTAGACACGCGGTGATGCCGCCCTTTCCTCCTCATTTTGAAAAGGGGAAATCTTAAAAAAAAAGACACAAATTAGATTCCATACAACAGATTTTATTACATGTTTCTTATTTTCTTTAAGACCCAAAACCCAACAAACCTCTATGACACAGAGGTCCCCCTTTATTCTGGCCACATCCATAAAAATACTATTTAATACTATGTGAATTTTTTATAAGGTAGTTACAATAGTTACCACAAGATAAGCCAAATGTTTCATAATGTTCAAAACTATTTTTGACAATTTTACAAATACCTTCAAATAAGTAATATCTACTATTTGTTAGCATCATTTTGTAAAAGAAAATACCTAAATATGGATACAGAATTTCTGCACTTTCTAAATATAAGAACTTTCTATATTAAACATGTTCCACAAAATATCAGAAAATGCATAAAAGCTGCTAAATATCCTGTTTTTCTGCACTGTACTGTTTTTAGTATAAAGATACAAAGAGTAATTAAATTATACAAAATACAAATGTATTTTAAGCTTCACTTTATCCAAAGTTAAGAGCACTGTTTTAAGAAAGAAATTAACATGTCAATAAATTTGAAAAAAAAAATGGAGTGTGCACCACTGATTTTCGCTTTAGACAAACTGCTCTGTGACCACTTAAAATTACACAAGTGTAGGCCTAGATTTAGAAATGAAGATATACTACTTAACACAAGAGAACCAAGCTAAAATAATTAAAGGACAAAAACTTTATGACTTCAGATTAAAGAACTTGCTGCTTTTGTTATACAAAAACTAAAACTCAGGACCACCACTGAAAGAGCATTTATTTATCTGTGCTGTAAAGCAAATTCATGGCAAGAAAACTTGTTCTTAATACATCTACAAACGTAAGACTTCAAATTTCTCTAAAACCATAGCATGGAATATCACTGAACCCTCAGCAACATCTGTGGCACATGCACAACTGCAGGAGCATTACTACCAACTATTCTGTCCCTTCCATTACATCTTCCGGTTCTTGTCATGTTTGGCAGCCAGATATGTCACTTAAAAGACAAACCAACACACCCTTACATGCTACAACATGTGCATCTATGCTGTTTTTCCCCTCTGGAAAATATTTGGCAAGATACACATTGCATAATACCTGACAGAAGAAAAAGTACTGACACTTCAAGGATTTATGCTTAAATGTATTAACTTCACTGAGTTTGCCTACATAGAATTCTCTTATTTTGAGCAGTGTATTCTTGATATGCTCTATGAATAGCTGAACTTTTTTAAAACAAAATCTTAAATTGTAACTGGTATAAGATCCAACTGAAACTGGAAGAGCGGATGTCTTAAAAAATATAATCTAAACAGGAAAACATAAAAATCTTTACATCAACTAAGCTTATATTTTAACAAGCTGCATGTAAGAGGGTCTCTCAGACCGTCTTTTTAATGGCAAAAATAATGAATGATTGTAGCATATTGTAACATTTAACTTAAATGGACAGAGATTATAAAGATCGTCCTATGGTTGCAACTAAAATACTGATAAAAAGAATTGTTGGAAATTGACTGACCTGGAAAAATGAAGAAAAAAACAACACTAAGCAATGTAAGTAAACCAATACTAAAATTTTCACGGACCATTGCTCCAGCTTGTTACTCCAATGTACCAACCGCAAATTACACTTAGTGTTTAAAATTACTTCTGTTTTCAAACCACAGTTTCACAAATTCAATTGTCACAAACTGTTCTTCTAATGATAACCCTGACTGAGGACATGTCTCAGAAATGATATTAGGGCGATATCTCCCTAAGGAGATATGACTTAGTCAAAACTGTCTGGAAATACAGTTAAAAGCAAATAGACGCAGAACACGGTCTTGCGCCAGACATTCTTTAAGCACTGTATATTCCAATGGTCTGCTGGTTTTAGATCACTTAATAAGATACCAGTTTCGTTATACTGAACTCATTTGATCTATCGATTAATCCAAAACCTGGACCCTTAATTATATACATCCAAACAACGTAAACTGCGTTCCAGCTGTAACATCCCCCAAGACTATGCTCTCGGTTTCAGTCTCGGTTGTTTTCTCTGATTATTTTCGTAGAAAACAAAACTTGCACTTAACTTTATCCGTTCCCTACTTTCACCAAACCAGCGTAAACAGGATCTATTGACGGAAGGAGAACTGAATTTCGTGAAAACCCTACGTCTGCAGAAGAGTGGGGCTGTTGCAGAGGGGTTAAAGGCTTTACTTCACACAATGCTAAGTCGGCAACCTTTCGAGGGACAGACATTTCCCCTAAAAATAAATCACAACTACATACGTCTACGGTGAAACCAACCTTCGAACCAAAGCATTTTACCTTCAAAACAAGACTACCATTCATTACAAATGAGTCAGGTTAAATAAATAGGACTTCAATCATCATTAAACATACTTTTCAAAATTGCACACACAAGACTTTTTACTAAAATAAAACCACATTTTTAACGCTCTGTTATAAAAACCCCGGTAACGTGAAGAGCTGCCAGAAGTAATTCATTAGGATTTGCACCATTATGGAGAAACATTAATCGCATTTTGACACCTTTCAGACGTGCAATTTATACACCACATAAAAGACACACACACGCCATTTGTGTCGTCAAGACAACATCTTAAAAACAGAGTAAAAAAGTTTCTCAACACAACAGAAGCATACTTACAATGGGTGCAATTAGCTTACCGAACTTCCTTTGTTACCTAACTGCCAAAACCAGGAACTTGTATAAAAGAAATATTGTAGCACTGGAACACTGCCCGGGTCTGTGACGTCACTGCACCAAACACTTTCCCGGGCCTGTTTGAATCAATGGGAATTCAACACCCTGGAGTTAACTATTTTAATCCGACTCCGCTAGGACCTCACCCGCAACGAACCACATACGCTGGCTTTGACTGGGTGTGCAGTTTGAGGCTATTGTTGAAACCAAGACGCTCCAGCGGAGCCTCCCAGCGGCCTGGGGTGCTGGGACAGTCCACAATAATAAAACTAGAAAACGCAAATATGGCGTCCAACAAAACAAGAAACCGAAGTACTCGCACGAAAAGTTCGTTTTTGGCCACACGCAAACCGATCCTCATCCTTCCAGGGTGGATTTCACCTCCGCGAAAGACGGATTTCTACGCGTAACAATGTAAGACGCCCATACCTCGCTGGTCCGAAGGTTTTGTTATCCAGACAGCGGCGGAGCTGAAAGCAATGGCGATGTGGCCTGCGGAGCGGCTGTGATTCCGCACAATCACATCCAACGGCCGCCGCTCGAGCACAGATTCCAGCTCTTAGTTTGAAGAATACGGACTGGGCTCCGCGACAACTGTCCGGAATTGGAACGTAGTTCTGTCCTCAGCGCGCCGTTCTTACTAAAAAGGACCATTCGTGAAGCGAAGTGTCCGCTTTCTAATATCGAACAGCAGCTGCCCCGAGCCTCTCTCCTCAACAACAATGCGGTTCCAGTGGAGGGCCCACCCGCCACGCACGACGCAGTCACGCCTCTCAAGACTGTACGTCTGTGTGGGGTCAGGAAGTTGCTTTGTGTATCTCCGATGCGAAAAGACGCTGGAGTAGTAGTGGTAGTATGAGTAATATCAGAAACACCAAGTACTAATATATCCTGCTTTCTAAAAACGAAAACGCGTGGTTAATTTAATAACGCATTTGTATCTGTCGCTGGTAGAGTCGTGCACACTTGTTTTCAGCGTTGTATATAAAACCACAAACTAAGTGAAAGAAAATTTGGAGAAGTCTGTATTACATATTAATCAGATGTTCGTTTTTTTTCCGTCTTCATGCATTCTGTAAAAAATAAATCTCACCAGAATGCAGTATTTGAAGCGTAATACCGAAGTGGGCTAGAACTGACCAATGTATTTATATGCTTTAACAGTAATAGCAGGCATTTCATTTCCATTGACTGACAATAGATATCCTTCTAGCTCTTTTGACCTGGTAAGTTACACCAGTCTTTATGATGTTTACAACATCTAATTTAAAGTATTCAGATGTGATATTTCACATAGTTGCAGTAAGACTCCTACATGACAAAACCTAAAAACACGACAATTAAATGCAGATTCAAAGCTTTTCTTTGCCCCACCTAATGGCGCATCCCTACCCCTGGAAGTGACCCTCTAGGTCAAGAAACCCCGTGTAACAGGGCTGTGTTCTCATTTCGCCCGAGCTTTCCGCTTGTGGATCCTATATACTTGACGTCAAAGGTAACTACTAAACTACAGAAACAACCTATTCCAAACTTAACGGCACCGCTGCACAGCGGAAGACGACACGAAATGCAAATAAATGCAACTGCCGGTAGTTTTGCTCGAGAGCGATTAAAATGCCGGTCATTCTTGACCTCTGCGTTATCCTATTGGTTCACTGCCGCAGAGAGTCTCTTGCAGGAACTTCTCAGCTCTGCGCAAAATCTGCACAGATTTCTCCGGGTGGAACTAAGTGACGTTACGCAGGAGTCCTCCTAGAACGCACGTCTCTGCTGGCTGCCCAAATCTGGCCTATAAAAACATGACCTCAGATTAGTGCCGAGTGAGACAGGAAAACAAAACATACTCAACTGTATCAATCTTAAGTTTATGTCGAATATAAATATCTGTTTCACTAGACATATGGGTGATAGCAAGTGGCCATTCGGCTAAAGGGCATAAGATCATTTTGAAACAAAAACGCAAAACGTAATATCAAAGAATGGGTAATTATACAGTTCAGACGCCGCGCATTCAGGAAAAGGGTTTGTTTTCCTTTTTTTACTACAACGGCGCCATTTTGGAAACCCTTCAACCCTATGACGTCATAAAAGCACGTTCCTTCCGTCCTACGCTGTAGAGCTGCTGCTGTTAACTGCAGGGGAGACAAAGCGACGAACTAATTGACTCTTCACTTCAATTAAACACTTTTTAATTTAACTATTTGGTTACCGAAACTGATTGTACTACATCTCAGGGCATCAAGGTAGGTACGTGCGTAGCGCTTTCGGCGGCTCTGCTCTGAAAGGCTGGCTTGCAGTGGAGATGTGTGAGGGTGTTGGGCTGATCCGGTTCTCCGGCTGGTTCTTCCAGTGTTCTGCTGCCAGGATCTGGTTCTGCCTCACCAGGTTGAGTTCCTGTTTGGCCTAACATGGCCGGGCCTGTACTGGGATAGGAAAGCAAGGAACCCCATCTGGTCGTCTCGCTTAGGAAATTGAAATGTCATACAGTGAAGTTTACTAGACTTTGGATTTCTTTTTCTTTTTTTGGATCACTGTCACAGCAAGGTAAATTTCAGTGCGTGTTTTCGCCAGTGTTTTTGTTGTTGTCTGTGGTGTGACGGAGGTAGGCCTTGTGTTCTTTTGTTCGGGTAACTGGTAGCTGACAGTATCAATGCATTGGGCAGAGCAGAAAAAATGATTCATGTCTTATTCAAAGGATGTTCCCTTTCGTATAAAGGTGAGCTGTGGTGAAGGTAACGACAATCGCGGATTAAAACAACCTTGATCCAGTCGTCTTTGCTTTTGTCTTGATAGATGCAGAATAGGTAGCATTTTTTTTCCAAGTCAAAATGATCCAGTTTACAGCATTATGGCAAAATGATGTCACTGTGCCCCTAAAAGAACATTAAACCGGAAAAGTTGAAAATCTTGACGTTTCTCACCTGGTTAAAACCTAAACGTTTCAGGTATTTTAAGAGCTTAGTAGCTACACGTGTAGAGGACTTTATGTAAAGTCCGCTGTATATGTACTTTGAGGGGTTATTCTTTGCTAACTCGGACTCTCGGGTTGTTTCGCACATTGTCCAGAGAAAAAAGAAACCTTTCTGTTGAAGTTCCGGGTGAAACCTTACAGTTCATGTTTTTTGCGTAGGTAGGCTATTCCGCGTTTTATTACAGACCCCAAAGATTGTGTACTGTACCTGTCCCCCTTTTTATCGCGTTGTACTTTCCACTCTCATTGCACTAGAGTATGTATGCGAGTTTGGTGCACTCGATCGGTATATGTAAGAGACCACGATCTAATACGATTGCCGAAGCTGTTTATGCCTTTTTGTCTTTTGACAGGCAGTATTTTTAAAGCCTCGTTTTTTCATTAAAACGGTATTATAAGTCAGACCCTAAAATACGGAGTCGTGTGTCTGTTGACAATCAACGTGGAGTTGCTCATCTGTCAATTAATTATAGCAATACGAACGCCAATTACGCAAAATAAAATTAAATCGGAGCGTACAGTGAGATGCAAGGTTTTAATTGTCTCGTATGTTCAGTGCAAAATGAAAAATCGTGGTGGTATCACTAATAAAACGTATGGCTAGACGTGCGGTTTAGTAAATGTGCATTAGCTACCCAGTAGATGTATTTTCTTATAAATCTAGTCTGCTTTTGTTTTCGTGTTATGTATGTGGCTTATCACAGTTAGAATATGATGTTTATATACTTGTTCAGTAATAAGTTATTCAGTAAATGCCTTGGAATACGATACTCTCCAATCACATGTAAGATGCTAAGACGAACTCGGTTGAAACTGGTGCTGTACATACAGTCCCTCCAGTGCTATACAGTGCTTAATACCATACTATACACAAGTGCAGAGCTATAAAAAGGAGAATCAATGTACAGGTCCTCAATTCATATCAGGTATTCATATCACAATGATTAAGAAGAGGTGCATCATGGTAGTTACGAAAGTATATTTTGTATATAGAGGAATGAGACAAAAAAACACTTTATTGTGAAGTTCTGTCAAAAATAGTCTGTTTTGTATATATTCATAAATCGTGAAGATTGAGTTATGACTTGTGGTCTCCTATCCCCTGACAGTAAAACCACTGGCAGTGTATTGCATTTGTTTCAGCCAGGCTGTAGACTGACTTTTCTTAGTCTGGTAATGGATCCCCTTTTGATAGATCAGTGAAAATGTGGACTGAAGAAAAAAGTTTACTTTTGTGTTCACATGGTGCACTGCTTCAGCAGGGAGCTAAAGTTGAGTTATTTCTACAGAGGGAATCTGTATTCATAGCTTATTACCCATTCACCCTGTCAAATGCTGTCCCTGTTTATATTAATTATATTTCTGCTGTGTTTCGGGATACTGTAGTGTTTGACGTCTTAATTAACAGTGTTAATTGAATGTTTGATAGTATTCCAAATTCATTTTAAACTAAAAACATTTTCTTAATCCTTGAGCTTCAAATATACATAATTCAAAGAGTAAAGAAATAACTGCAGATACTTTCAGCTAAACACTTTACTGAGTAGAAGTTGAAAAAATTTATATAGTACTTTACAAAGGTAATAGCACCATGTGGTGAATATGTCACAAAGTAGTTGAACTAGCCAAGAACCTTGTTTTAAGTTGTCAAAGGAACCTGATGATATAGAAATACAGTGTGTTGGTTAAAATAAAAAGGAATGTGCCATTCATACTGTGGTTATCATTGATGCACAACATAGTGTCATTACTTAATATTCTTGTTTTTTTTACAGAATGCAATGTTTTTATAGAAGATCTGACAAAACATACCAGAGAGGGCGATGTTAATGTGGTGGAATATGTCATTTCACCATAGTGATATTTGTTTCAGAATGATTTGTAACTGTTAAAAGCATGAGGCTTATGATAAAGCAGTAAACTGACAGGGAAAGAGACAGTGTCAGGTCTTTGAGGATACGATGTAAATAAACACAATGAACTACTCATTTAGAACCCATGGGGGCTGGTAACCTAGTGATGATCATGAGGGTTATGAGGGACAAATTGGGCAGATGGGCAAAATTTGCTGTGATGGTGATTGGTGAATTTATTGTGTGTTGTAAGGGAAACAGTCAATAGAAATGCGTTTATTTTTTTACCGTAATTCCAAACATTGAATTGTAAACATTAACCTCTGTGAGACAAGTCCTGTTTTATACACTTTAACGAAAGGGGGAATACAAATATAATCAATTATTTCTTTATCTTCCTGTAATGATTATATTTAACCTTTGTCACCCGATGCTCTTTGCCTTAAGATCACCATTCATAAGTGATTTTAAACTAGACTGACACAGCTCATGACCCACATGGTGTTTGTGATGATCACGTTGCTATCTTTTATGTTACGTATGAGCTTGCATAAGGTCATTCTTCTTGTTAAAGTGATAATAGTTGTCTTGTTATACTTTTTATGAAAAATATTTTCAAACATGATTGCAACCTGTACAGAAATTATGCAAAACTGCTCTCACTCTATACAAAAAAAAATCCTAATCTGAACATTAAGAATACATTTTGTGGTTAATGAAAGCTGTGTGATGGAACATCCTACTTATGTCAAAAATGTAATAAATACATTTTCCTGAATATAATGGTATCTGGGTTGTTAAGTGAAACCATAGTTTAGTTAGTTAGAAAATCATTTAAGACATGTTTATTGTAATGAATTACCCTTCTAGATTCTAACAGTGACTAGAGTAGAAAACTAGTTATCCTGATTGTAACTTTGAGTGTCAGTCAGTTTGTGAATTTACTGTAGCCTTATGTTGATACAAAAATTGAGGTGTCTAAGCCTGTTTCCCAGCTGGTTGACAACCATGGGATTGGTCAGTCTCAGTCAGTCTTGCTCTACACTTGGCGCATACTTAAAGAGCGATAAAAGCTGATCTCACCCATAACTAAAGTACATTCAGTATTCTGCACTATTTTTCTTCATTCTCCTTTTCAATGTAGAATTAACCTCTACATATTCCTTTGCAGCTTGCATACACATGCAGCTCACCACTGCAATATTCAATATGGTCATTCACTAAATCTGAAGACTTCCAGCCTGGTAGAAGGATAATCATGTGCAGCCACTGTCGTAAGAACTGTTCTATGAGTTGAATTGTGTTAGATTGGCTTCCGTCTCTGTGTGGCAGACCTTAAGGCAGGTAATTTCAGGACAACTTTAAACGTGTAAAAGTTTTAACATTTAAAAATGAGTACTGACTTAACAATGTTGATAAACAGTGTATCCAGATAGACATCACTCATGAACTTCATTGATTAATGTATGGTTTTCTGTTATTAAGTTGCAGTTCTCCAAAGACATGAACCCAGGGAGATTGTACAAACTCCATGGAAATAGCACCCTAGGAAAGAACTCATAGCCCCAGTCCTGTGAGGCATTAATGCTAACAAAAAACATGCCAAATTTGAAAAAAGCCATAAATTGTAAACTGTTAAATGTATTAATTTTATTGACTTGCTTAAGACTTAGTTATGTGGTACAATACTAAACAGTCTTTTAGGTGAATAGCAAGAAGGTACATACAGCTGTTACCATGAGAAGACACGATGAACCAGTTACAGCACATACAGCAACACATACCTAGGATATATGGGATCACAAATTTGAATTTACTTTTCAGCTTTTCTAGGATTTTAACATTTGCAGTTGTAATACTGTATTGAACTCTGCATCTTTCACACTATTGTTTTTGTTACAAAGATTAACCAATAGTGTTACAAGTTTCAATGGCCCTGTGCATATATGATGTACAAATCTTTACTACTTTCCACCTTCAGGAACCTCACTTTTCATATGATCAGGGACTTCAATTTAGTTGTTACTGTGAGCTTGTTTTGTTTCAATGCCCTGCCAAATGTAATATTGTAACCCTGGCATCTTTGAGTTACATGTGCACAAAAAAGGCTAATTTGTAAGAACTACTTTTCATGCCCAGTATCCTAAGAATTGCCAAACAGATTATCACAAAAATAGAAGGAAACAAAACCATTTTCTGTCCTATGAATGATGTGTGCCATATGCCATCCTTAACTGCTGTAAAACAGCCCAGAGAGTCTAAAAGGGTTGTCATTTTGTTTGTATTGCTGTGCTTGCTGAGTTTTGTGGTCACCTCCCTGTAGTTCCCAATGAACTATACCTCAGATGATGACCACTACACAGATCCCAGAGAGGAGTGTGTGGAGTGGTCTGCACAGATTGCTAAGATTGCTAAAAAATGGACTAATGGAGCACTTGCTCTCTGGCAGCTTTCTGATGGTGGATAGAATACTTATTCCAGACCAGCTTTACATTAAAAGGTGTTTAATGATCATTCTTCGCACTTTTCCTATGGAAATGTCTATTTACCTTTATAATAACAATACATAATAATACAAAAATATACGTATACTATGCTAATAAATTGTTCTATTTTTTAAATGATCGTAGTGTTACCCTATGCCAAGTCCATCCCACCCCCAGCGTTGATATCTTCATAGTAGGTTCATTATAACCAATTGTCACAGATGTTGCTTATTTATTACTTAGTGTCTTAAATCTGATTGCAACATAATTAAAAATGGTGTTCTTCAATTACATGATGTAAACATCTGTTTTTGTTACCCCATGTAGTTTAAATATTGTATAAGAATCTAATGTTGTTGTCAGAATGTTTGCCTGTGCAAAATGTTGCTAAGAATTGCAGTATTTGATACCCACTTACCTTCTGGCGATTCCACAGATAAGAGTGAAATAGCCGACAGCTGAGGAGTTTTGTCAGAATTTCATACTTAGGCAAGTCATTGTATGGATCACTCTTGACCGTCCATCAAAATGTGATGTGTTGGTGATTTATTTTATGAATAAATTAACTGCTTATGTGCTGTTAAAAACTTTGTATCTTGACTTGATAAGATTAAAAGAATTTGGTCACTTTAGACATTTCCCCAAAAACCTTTGTGCATCTTATTCCATCCAAAGACCTAAAGTAAAACACTTTAATATATACAGAATGTATTATGAGACTTTCATGCATGAGTAATAATGATGATTTATTGTTTAGTTATTTTTGATGAGATCATAGTTTTGCAAGATTATTTATGTGTTCACAACATTTAACATCAGGCATCTGTTCCTGTAGTCTCCTAGAAATGTAATCTCCTGTTCTCTTCATTTTTCACTCTTTAAGTATGACTATGGCAGTGCACTCAAGCTTTCTTATGAATTCTAAACTTTTTAAAAATCTTTAAAACAGTATTTGGGGTCTTAATGCTAAGACAGCTTTGAGGAAATGCAAAGCTTTTTCACAAAGATAAAAAGCATTTGCACTCCAGCAGTGTTTGATGCACATACACCGTTCAAGAGAAAAGGCATCGGTTAAAAATACAACATATTTTATACTGGTTGTTTATGTTAGGTTAAAACTGAAAATGATTTTGGTAGTAAAAGTAATTTGTCTTAAGTTGTTGAAACACTTGTTTTTTTAAAGAATACATTTTATTTGACAAATTCAGATGTTATGTATTAGTAGAACACCTAGTTCTTAGCCTAAAAAAATACAAAGTGTTAATATTAATGTGTTACTTTTCTCAAGTAGTAATACTCATGTGAGTTAACACATTTTTCATTTAAATAATGTTTTACAGACATCTGACAACACCTGCATGATTGGCTTAGGATTTGTGGTGACTGCACACTTTAAGCTATTTGTATTCAGATAGTTTTTGAAAATTTTAAGGAATTATTTAAATGACAAATGTGACAATGGAGTGCTGGTTTTAAATAATATAGTGCTTATTGTTATTTGATTAGATACAATGGAGATTAAACTTTCAGTTTTAATGGCGCTGAAGAAAATAAATGTTATAAATAAGAAGAGTCCATTAGACAGATCTAATGTCATTTAGCTTGTATGATGATTAGTAACTATTTGATCCAAGCGTCTCAACCAGCCATTTCTGAATCAAAGCCAGAAGACTGGCTTCACAGCATGGCTGGATAGCAAATTCCAGACAATCTCAAGTCTTTATTCACAGTAGCACTTATGAGACTGCCTTACTGGTCCAGGCTATGACATTATGTGCACGATGCATCAGAATCACCTCTGAAGTTTAAAGATGAAAAGGGTGAACTTTGGAACAGTTTTCCGGAAATATGAGACCAAAATAAATCTTTAAGTACTGGAAAGTGGAGAAAATAAGAACTAAATACTGTAAAGTAGAGAAACTGAACTGCTGATGCTCGAAACAACAACAGCTCAATTGTGATGCTTAGCCACCTCTGGAACTTGGCTCACTCATCTTTATTGATGATGTCACTAATGATGGTAGCAGCAGAATTAGTTCTGGAGTTTATAGAAACAGTTTGTGCATCATATGCATGCCAGAAGATAATAAATAATAAATATGGTACCCGGTTATGGCTTTGAATCCAATATTCTGGCTTTTTTCAAGAACAGACTTGATGAGATCCTCAAAATAAATTACAGCTAGCTACCAAACAGATTGTTCAAATTACTTGCTGTTGGTTCTAACTGTTCTTTTATTCTTAAATAGATTTACATTTCTTAACGGATTGCCAATCTCTTTTATAGCATAAAATGCAGTTGCCTTCGTGCATTAACACGGTTTCTTATTGCATAGTCATCACTAAATGAAAAGGTTGAGTTAATTTATGCACAATTTCTAAAGAATATATTATTTTTCATCTGAATTATTCTGAAATACCTCTTTTTTAAAAGCATTTTCACAGGATTGTTTCTTAAAGTATTAGTGTAGTGTGTGTCTGTTACTTAGAATTAATTATTTTATTTCTCTAGCTGTATGTGTAAAAGAATACCATAAAAAATATTCTAAGGAAAGTTCTTATTTTCCAAATACAACTGTTAATATTGTAGAAGTGTGGTTAATTTACAGTTATGCCTTTCTTTTATAAATGTCAGTCTTGTATATACTCTTGCATATATGCATTTACTGTATATATTTCTATTGTAGTTGTGTTGGGCAGATGCATTTGTCCATAGTGCTATATTTAATACAAGTTATATGACATTAATTTATCTAGCAAAAATAATACACATTCTAAAATGACAGTTAATGAAAGAAAATCAATATAACATGCACTTCCACAAAGTTTTGACTTGTAATGTGTTTTGGGTTGCAGTGTTTATTTTTTTAAAGAAGATCTTTGTCAAAGCTTGTGAGGATTTGAAAATACTTAAATCAGTTCCCCTTTAGTTTTGCCTGTTCAAGACTAGAGATGTACAACACTAATAGGCTAAAAAGAACAGAACTTGCTTGAAGTCTGGAAGTATATTTGCTTACTCCTGACTGATTCCTACTGCATTGTACAATTGTAACACAATATAGTTAAACTAAATATGGAAAATCCTGGTAATGGTTGATTTTGCTCTACTGATTTTCATTTGTTCTAATGATAGCTAGTCTGTAATCTAAAAATGAAAATGTCTTATGTATTTTCATTTATCTTTCCACAGGTGATCCAGAATAACAAAAAGACAAAAGATTCCACCATCATTAATGCAAAAGGAGAGTCACACTCACCTGGTGTTTGGTTGATCTTTGATAGACATTGTGATGGACCCTTAATACACTGAATATCTTTTGAATGTTAATCAAAAGGAAGACCCCATGATTCTAAACTACAGAAAGAATTCATGACTGGCTGTTTTTAATAAGGACATTTGTTTTAAAGCAGAATTCTAAGTCTGCTAAAATGGATGGTGAGGAAAACCTGCCCCAAATTAGCGACAATGAAAGCCCAAAGCAAATTGATTTAATGGAAGAAGATATAAAACCAGAAGGTGAAAAAGAAAGTGTGAAAATTAAAGAACAAGAAAATTATGGAAGTGTTTTTAATACATACAGTAGTACAGTGTATGACACCATGGACACAAAATCTGTTTCCTGTTCTCCAGGAGCACTGGCTACTGAAGTCCCATCTCTGTCCTCCTCTCCAGAAATGCTATCAGAAGATATGACTCCTCAACTTACTTGTGAACAAGCAACAATGGATGCAGCTGCAGCAGACATTTCGTCTTCTGAAGAGATGTGTGACAAAGACGACTCTCTCAGCTCTCCAGGTGGATTAAATGAGGGCCCAAGTTTGAATGAATTCCATGTTTCAGGTTCCAGGAAAGCAGAACGTTCTATAAAGATTAAGATTAAAAGAATGAGCAAAGAACCTGCAGAAAATGATGTTAGTATCCACATTAAGGAGGAACCAGAAAACATGGCTGATGAGAGTATTAATGATCCAAGTTCAGCCTTATTCAGTTCCTTAGGCCGATATAATTCTCGAGAAAATGATGAATACAGTAATTTGCTTACTGGGTACCATAGTACTCTATACGATGTGGCCATGGATGCGGTCACACAAAGTCTTTTGTCTTCAATGAGAAGTAACGTTAATCCCAGGAAAAAATCTCCCGCTTGGAATCATTTCTTCATATCCCCACGAGATAGTACCAAAGCAATCTGTATGTACTGTATGAAAGAGTTCAGTCGGGGGAAAAATGAAAAAGACCTTAGTACGAGTTGTCTCATGAGGCATGTGCGAAGGGCACACCCTACTGTTCTTTTACAGGAGAGTGAATTCCCATCAAGTACTTTAGCTAGTTCAGTTGGCTCTTCTTTATTACCTCCCGTAACTTCACCAAATAACAATGGGGAGCTGGCAGCTGGTTCTACTTTAGTGTCACAGAAAAACACTTCAAGTACGGTGTCCTCTACAGAGAACACAGAAGAGTTTCCATCCAAAGAAGTGTTTCCAGTTACACCAAAATTAGAGAAGTGTGCCAAAAACGACAACTGCATTACTTTATCCCCACATTCCAGTAACAGCCATAATGAAGATGCTACGGATGGTGTATCAGACCGCATTCTTGCAACTCCAAAAAATTCAAATTCTAGAAGGAGATCAGCAGTCTGGAAGCATTTTTATTTATCACCTGCAGATAGTTCTAAAGCAGTGTGTATACACTGTATGAATGAATTCAGCCGAGGTAAGAATGGGAAAGATCTGGGAACAAGTTGTCTTATTCGTCATATGTGGAGAGCTCACCGGGACATTGTTATTGAAGAAAATGGAAATGGTTCCAGCATTCCACCACCGTATACAACACCACCCACTTTGTTACCCTCCTTCCAGCTTCAAGATGCAAGTGAGTCAAAATTCAGAAAAGAGTCTTCTTTTATCTCCTTGTCTCCAGAAAGGACATCTGACGAGGTATCGCAAAATCTCAGTGAAAGTATGGATGTCAGAGAGGAGTCGAATGATGTGTCATATCATCTGCCCTCAGGACAGTCCTCATTAGAAATGCCAGTTGGTGCAGCGTCTTTGTCAGAAGGACTGAGTGAAAAAGATCTCCCTCTGACGTCCTCTCCGGATGATCTTTCTGAAGGTCCAAGTGTAAATGAAGATCAGAGTTCAGTTTTTCAACAAAATAAAAAAATAATGAAAAGAGTGAAATCAGAAGTTTGGCACCATTTCATAGTTTCCCCGGTTGACCATCTGAAAGCTTTATGTCGGTACTGTCCATGTGTCATAAGCAGAGGAAAGCGAGGGGATTTTGGAACTAGCTGTTTAATGAGACATCTGATGAGGCGACATCCTAATGTTCTGAAGAACCAAAAAGGCACATATGACAAAGTTTCATCATCTCCTAGATCACCATATGCAACTCTGGCTGCTGCAGAAGCCTTGTCATGTAAAGTGACTGACAACTCGGTAGCTGAAGATAAGAAACCTCATGCATTGCCGGTTTTTAGCAAAAAGACTTCCAAGTTGTGGAATCACTTTTCTATTTGTTCTACGGATCCAACAAAAGTAGTGTGTTTGCACTGTAGCCGTACCATAAGTAGAGGCAAAAAGACTACAAACCTTGGCACAAGTTGTTTATTCAGACACATGCAGAGATTCCATGGACATGTTCTTGAAAACAACAGCAGCATCTCAGGTGTGGTGTTATCATCCTCGGCAAACTTGCAAGCAAAACCAGAATTAATGGATACATCATCTTATGAAGACAATAATGAAAGATATAATGAATATCATCCAGTTGCCAAAAAAATCACCAAACTTGTTGCAGAGATGCTTGCATTGGACCTCCAGCCTTCATCCCTTGTGGAGAATGTTGGTCTGAACAGATTACTGGAATACTTGCAACCACAGTACTCTCTGCCTTCAGCTACATACTTTACCAGCACTGCCATACCAGAGATGTATGAGAGAGTGAAAGAGGTGATTGTCACTCACCTAAAAGAAGCTGAAAGTGGTATTGTTCATTTTACAACAAGCATTTGGGTCAGCAACCAAACAAGAGAGTACCTGATTCTTACAGCTCACTGGGTTACATTTGAGTCCTGTGTACGGCCTCAAGGACAGGATTTTCACTGCTCTGCTCTTCTCAGTGTTTCTCAGATTGACTGTGACTACAATATGATGAACATTCAGAAGCAGCTTGAGTATTTGTGGGACACCTGGATCATTTCCTCAGGTCTGAAAATAGGCTTCACAATAACTGATAATCAGAGTATTGGAAACATGCTTGATGACAATGAACATTCAAGCTTGCAATGTTTCGGACACACGATTGACCTCATTGTTAGCGAAGCCATAAAGAGTCAGAGAATGGTTCAAAATTTGCTGAGCATTGCAAGGAAAATTTGTGAGCGTGTCCATCGTTCAGCAAAAGCAAAAGAGAAGTTGGCAGAACTGCAAAAAATCTACAACCTGCCTGAAAATCATCTGGTTCAAGATGTTCCTTCCAAGTGGAAAACCTCCTTCTACATGCTTGAACGTTTAGTTGAACAGAAGAAAGCCATTGATGAGATGTCCATTGAGTGCAATTTCAGGGAACTTATCAGCTGCGATCAATGGGAGGTGATGCAGTCAGTTTGCAATGCTTTAAAACCCTTTGAGGTTGCATGCAGGGAAATGAGTACTCGGACAGCTACACTTGGCCAAGTTATTCCACTCATTCACATTCTCAATCGGAAGATAGATATGCTTTTTGATGAGACCATGGGCATAGATAATATGCTTAAGTCCTTGAAGGAGGCAATGGTAAGCCGAATGTCCTCCACACTTCATGATCCAAGGTACACTTGGGCTACAATGTTGGATCCTCGGTACAAAACCTCCTTATTCACAGAGGAAGAAGCGGAACAGTGTAAGCAAGACCTCATCCGAGAACTAGAAGCATTAACGTCTACCTCAGCAGAGCTTAAGCCTTTGGTTTCTAATGGATGTAGTGAAGCTCCAGCTTCATCTAACAGTACCGTCAGTAACAATGATAATCTCTGGGCACTTATGGACGATATCAGGAACAAAATAAAACAAGAAGATAGACCCAAATCCTCTGAGCTTGCTGTCCATGAATACTTGGAGGAAGAAATTGTTGATCAAAGTTGTGATCCTCTTGATTATTGGAACCTTAAAAAATTCTTATGGCCGGATCTTGCCAAAGTTGCTGTTCGATATGTGGGCTGCCCTCCGAGCATTATTCCATCAGAGACACTGTTCAGTACTGCAAGTAAAAGCTGTACCTTGAATCACTCCAGACCAATGCTGGAGAATATAGAAAGACTTATCTTTTTAAAGGTTAACCTTCCCTTAATATATTTTCAGTACTGAATAGATAATGCCTGTACTACTGTTCCTACACCTGACAACTTGAGAAAGCCTATGTACTAGGGGAGTATCTGTGAGTGTGTATGTGGGGTGGGGTGGGGGGTGGGTATCAGGGAAGGTCGTGATTTAGCTGTAGGTTAGGTAAATAATTGTTGCTGTATTTTTATTTTTTCAGTTTTATATTTTTTTTCTCCTTGTGCCTTATACAAACTTCTTCAGGTCAAAATGATGATGTAAATACTTAACTGATGTTTAACCAAGTTCTAGACCATAAATTTAAGTGTTTATGAATAGTAGGAACTAGGTGCTACATAATGTTTTTTTTAAATAATGTGGCCCAAAAATGCTGTGACTGAAAAATGTATAATACAATACCATAATGTAATTTTATTTTATTCTTTCATTGTGAAATTGTGGATAATGGTACTGTCTAAATTAGATATAGTTTTCTTTTGGAAATTACTGCATTTCTAAACAACAATGTATATTAGTACTGTATTACAAACTACAAGCAATCTCTGTTCAAAATATACTTTTATCTTTTAAGCACAATTGAAGTTTACTTCTGAGGGATTAAATTATGGGTCACTGTCTAGTAAATATACAATGTACATTTATAAATATTCATTTCAATACAGAATTTGATAATTGTGAAAACATTAAGACTGGAACCATAATAATTACCTGGTAAACTGTAAATAAAGCCTTTTCCCTTGGATGTTTAGAATTAGGTCTCTGCGTTCCTAAAATAGTTCTGGTAGCTGAATGAATACCATACCATGTAATATGAAACCCCAGATAGAGCATAGTTATGTTTTACTTCACAATGATAAATGGATTTCAACTTTAGCTTCTGTTTTATTTTCAAGCACACAACTCATTTATTTATATTTCTATGGTGTTTGTGGTTTACTGTACAGGTCACATACAAATAAAACTGCTTCAGAAATGTAGTTATCCTTTTGAACTACACTTATTAGGTTGACATTTGTAAAATTTAAGGGTATAGTTTTGCCAGTTGCTTGTCCTTGTCTTTACAATAACTATGATAAAAGATGAATTATCATGAAGATCTGCTCAGGGGATCAACAGCCCCATCAGTTGACCACAGTATTTCAGTAGCTCCTCTGGTAACTCACAACCACGATTTGCCACCGAGATGATTATCACTGAAATTTGCATCTAAGTGTATGTACATCCAAAATCAACAATCCATTGAGGGAAGCTGTGAATTATTGACTTCCAATTTGGCATAAAAACCTAATACTTCTTTGGTTAATACAGCAGTGTGATAACTTCTGATCAGTTTAATCCCACTTTAATAGTTTCATCAAATCATCATACAGGCCTCATAGTGTTCAACCCTAGAGTTACTGGACTACAGCACATTCCAGCGTATCAAGAAAGCCACAAATGAGAGGAGCTTGAGTGCATTTTTAGTTGCAACAAGGTCAAACCCACCAAGTATGAAATCTTGATGTCTAAATGTAATACTTTAGTTTAAAAAGATACCTTTTCTAGAGTTGTCAGAAGTGGTACAAGGTTTGAATATGTTTTTCCACAACTCCATTAATGTCTATAGGGGCTCTAAATAGGTGGTCTCTGGACTATATAGACCTGCCTACACTCCGGAAAACTGCTGGTTTAGTGCCTTGGAAGCCTTTAAACATTCAATTATTCTTCTATGCACATGTTCTGAACTCGCTCCTTGTGGCACCGAGTTTACATTAGTGAGCAATATCCTGAAATTGTAAAATATATTAACAGGTTTCACATTAACAAGTAGATGCTTATTAATTGAGATGTCTCATTTTACAACTCCAGAATGCACGCTATATTTGAATTAAAGGCTGGTCATAAACCTTTTATTATTTCCTAATAGTACAAGACATGGCTTAAATGTCTGAATCCAGTTTCTCAATTATTTAAGTATTCAATACTATGCAGAAAACAAAAAGATATTGGATACATATTTGAAAGAGTCCAGTGTTTAAAGTGCTACAGCTTCACAGTGGAGTTTAGTAAGTTTTATTACAAAATAATAACCCCAATAAATCAGTAAGGTGCACATTGTTTTAACAAAAGTGTAGTACATAAATAGTTTTATGTTGGCATTTAGAATTAAAATATCCCAAAAAAATAAGAATTAGAATAACTATAAGAACAGAAAATGTTTTTTAAGCTACAAAGCTACATATAGGAAATCCTGCATTCTGATGATAAACTGATCCAGAAGTAAAGAAGGTCAGAGACAACCACAAGTAAAATATAGTTGGCATCATGTTTGTTCTGCTGAAAGAATATAATAAACACAATGCTAACTACATTTTTACTCGCGGGAAGTTAAAACTTCTCCACATGTAACATTTTATGTCATTAAAAAAAGTGTATTTCAAATAGTCATATTCACGTGGTATGTGAGATTTTTTCCAACAGCACCAGTTTGTTTTCAAGTTTAATATGGATTGGTGGTACCTCAAAAACATTTAATACTAGTTCCTTGAAGCATGGTATAAAGGCTATAATTTTATGAGTTTCTTTCAAGGGAATTAGTTTGGTTGGATCTGCTTCCATTAAAATATGAGAAAATTCTTCCATTTCCGAGTCACCTGGAATAATATCCTCTCTCTTGTCATACCTGAAAGAGATGCATAAAAACAGTTCAACAATCTGTTACATGTCATCTTAAAATAACACTGCTTTTAGAACAGGAGAGCAATACATCCAAACAGCGGAGTGTCTGTAAAGTACTAATCCTAAACAAGCATCCAATAACCACTGTTCACAGTATCAGGGTAAGAAAACAGGTAATCTGCCTCCTCATGCCACAACTTCGCTGCCTAGCGAGCCAGGTAATAATGGCTAAGTTGAATGTCTTTGTAATTTTGAAATTTAACGTCAACCAGTGAGTGTTCCATTAAATCTGCTGTAAGAAGATCTGCGAGTGCTATTCTTGAAAGATAAGATTTGACCTATGGCTCACATTAGCTGCAGAACAGATAAAACGTTTTTTCTGGATATAAAAACGACACCAACAATGTAAAGAGAATGTAACTAAAAATTACTCACTTCCAATTGTCATGAAGTTCTAGAAAGCGTGAAACCCCTGTTTGTGCCGAAGCTACGTCAATATGAACTGAAACATCTAAAAAAAGAGAATGGATGTTGAATTACAAGTAATCATTTATCCATGTCTAAGCTTTTTAGTGAGATGACAAAAACCACTACTATAAATGTCAAATCAGTTATCTTTTTTCTTTGGGAAATTTTGTACATTTTAGTGCTTCAAAAGATTTTGAAAACAAGAAATAAAATATAAGGCATTAATTGATTCCCAGGACAATACCATTAAAAATGTAATATTTTGCTAATAAAGTAACTATTTACATTTCTGAAAACCATTACAGATCAAAATTTCAAGAACACACCAACCTGCTGATGGTGGTATTAATAAGTGCAGTTGTTCCATAGCTTTTCCACCAGGGTAATTAAAATGGGAGATGTATAAAGACATACCAGTGTACACCACATTAGCTGCTAAATGACCAATCACAAGTAAAGAGCCCACTTTATAGATCCACGATTTATGATAGTTATTCAAACTGCAAAACAACAGATGAAAACACTTTGATTTTATATAAACAAACATTGAGTACCACAAATATGTTCTGCTTATATTGCTTTCAGTAGATGCTACACTCTCCACTAGCCGGATTTTCACTGTATTTCCTTGTTGGTCAAGCACTGTTAATGACAAACTAATGAGCCCAGGTAACTTAATCACAATATTTCCATAAAATGAACCAGCGACACAAACTATCATTTTCATGATAATGTGAATTTGGCACAGAAGTGATTATTCACTTATTATGGAACAAGTAATAGGTTTATTCCATGCTGAAAAAAAGAAGAAGAAAGAGAACACAACGTTTCGGCCGTGGAGCCTTCTTCAGGTGTGAGGACCTGAAGAAGGCTCCACGGCCGAAACGTTGTGTTCTCTTTCTTCTTTTTTTTTTCAGCATGGAATAAACCTATTACTTGTTCCTTTGCAGCCTACGCATGCTGACGCAGCTACCCACCTGAACTACATTCACTTATTATGTTCAGTATACAATAGCAACATTTTATTGTACTGTAAAAACTTTGTTACTAATTTCAAAAAATCAAAAAAGCCTTTACAATATGTGTAACCCCAACAATACATAAGCACATTAAAAAAAATCTATTTTCATTTTAATATCACCAAAATCAAGATAATGACATCCCACTTGTAGCACACATAATGAAAGGTATTCTCCTCAGTAATATAAGTGCATACTATTGTATTTTAAACATGAAAGAATGGTCTGCTAAATTGATATTTAATTAACAGAACCAAAACAAAACTGTAAGTAATGGTCAATTCTATACTTACACATATGAACAGCCCCGAGCTGCAATTATATTGAAGATGGGAAATGTGTATATTATAAATCGTAGCTCCTTGTGTGGTAGGAATGAATATAAAAATACAAATCCCACTGCAGGGAGCAGGAACATTCGAGTTCTTCTATCCAGCACACCAAGAGGAACAAACAGTATAGTTGAACCCAATGCACGAGGCAAGGCGGAGTAGAAATACCACAGAAATGGAGAGGTTTATAGAGAAGTCAAGGAACTGCACAAAATATTATTGACAAAAAACACAGTAGAGTGCATTTCTTACTTTGTTATTTTTTTTAAGTAAAGAATTGCATTATCTAATCATTTAAATCTGACAGCATTTAAACAAAATGTGTACCATGCTTAAGGCTTAATGACCCATAAATTTTATATCCAATATAAAAATAAAATACAGTTACTAAATTCATATTCTGTGCCTTTCAGCACAGAAGTACAATGTTATACCTTGAATGGTAAAGTAAACATGCAATATTATTCAGATTTGCAAAATTCAAGTTGAACATCTAACTGCAATCTGCAAAATCTTAAGGATATTCCCCAGTTGGAGCTTTTATTCAGGACAGTGTTATACCACAGAACTTGTCCTTCAGGCCATAGCAGCTGCTTCCAGAAAACAGAGTCGATGCCAATTGTTAAAGCTGAAAATTAAAGAGAGAGAGATCTGGAGAATAAAACTATTATTGCTTCTCATTCAGGGACTCCTCACTGTTCTTTCTGTTCAGAGTATCCTTCTCAGACCAAATGCTTTTATAACAGTAATTATGCAGAGGTCACCAAATTAAATGATTAAACTTTACAGTATGATCATTCGTCACACAACAAGTATTTACAACCCATTAAGGTTACGTATAAAGAGACAGATCAGAAACAGTAGATTGATATACTCTAATTTTAAAGCAGGGATCCTCAGGACCCTAGTCCCACAGCACCCCTATCTAGCAGGTTCTACATACAACTATTAAATCATTAATGTCAGCACTGGATAAATGTGTGATTGATTAAGCAGGTGATTTAAAGTAATATTACAGATTTAGAACACAGAACAGCTTTGAAGAATAGGTCCGGCAGGATGAGCTACTGTATAGAACTAACTGGACTGGGGCTCTCCAGGAGCAGGGTTGGAAAACCCTGATCTAAAGCAAATTGTATTAGAAGTTAATCAAAACAACATGTGACTTACCTAGACAAAATAAACCAGCTGGAACGGCCATGTACAACAATTGTAAAATAGAAAGTCGTCTGCTCATCAAAGACATGAGCAACATAAGTCCTAGGAATATACACAATTCTGACCGGAATACAATGATTGAAAATGCAGAAAGCCAAATAAAGATGCTGAGGTTTTGTTGTAACCAAAAAGTAAAAGCCAGAAGAACTGCAAAAGGAAATGGGAAAGAGAAAAATGTGTCAATACAGTAATTTCTTACATCAGTGTTCCATTTTACAGTACCAGCATTTCCTCTAATAAGCCTGCAGCCAGATTGAACTACTTCAGATCAATTCATGCACATTTAAAATCTGTAATGCAAAAGACATTACTGCTAAGAAAGACTTTTTCTTGGTAGCTTTGGTTTAAATAATTTTCTTTTACTTCCTAGCTATGTTTCAGGTGAGATATGAAATGCAATACCTTCTAATCAAAAAAGCAAACATAGGATTGTAAAGAATTAAATAATTGTGGTGAAGAGTAATAACGCTACCTCTAACTTAAGAGAACTAAAAAAATTCCACATAATATTTTGTATTTAAGGAATTAACATTTGGTCATCACTAATAAACCTTAATTCATGTATTTGTGTATTTATAGCGAGCACCTTTGAAATGTCTTTCACCAGAGAATTACATTCTGTTAAAAAACTAATGGATATGAAATCTCAAGTAGTTGTAGGATGTACGGTTTCTAAGACAAAGATAACTGCACTGCAGTGAACAGAGTCTTCACCACCCTTTAGTTAGTGACTCCTGAACTTCAAGCATCAATGACAATCACCAGCTCAGGAAAGGAAGATGGCTTATATCAAATATTTGCACTCATGTGAAAAGGGGAAAAGAGTATTCATGGAGAATTAACGAAACAAGAGAAAGAACTGTTTCAGAAATTTCAAAAAAAGCATTTAAAATGTAAATGTTACATTTCAAAGGGAGGCTACATTCACACTGTTTTTCCCTGCTATACAATTACAGAGCCTAATTGTTCCCCTTCTTCTGGAAGAAAAATCACACAAATTTAATGTGAATTCAAATAAAAGGCAAAATTATACAACACACTGTTTAAATTCACAAATTCTTAAAAAAAAACAGTAACAACAAACCCTACCTATGGGTAAAGCGAATGTATTGGGCAGTGTCCTCGAGCTGTAGAACGCCAGGTGAAACTGTGACGCACACATGAAGCAGAACAGAGCGGCCGCTGTCGAACCGAACTGTTTTCTGACCTCTCTCTGAAGCTTCCATAAGGCAAAAGTCACACAAAGACCCAGACAACCCCTCACTGGCAAATGAATAAAACGATTAATCAGGCACGATGAAACGTCAAATATATTAAATTTAGGGAGCAAACACGCGAGGAGTCTTAGAAAACTGTCTTTTGCTTAGAAAACCGTACGATGTCATTCATTAAACAGTTTTAAATGAAACCCGGAGATAATGCAAATAACCACATATTAGACAAGCACACTATGGCGTCACTATTCTGTGAACCGTAAAAGCCACAAACCTCCTTACCTATTACTTGTGAATAAAACTTTGGTGCGTCAAGTATATAAAGTAAATATACCAAGGGCGAAGAAAGCGCTGAAATAAATAATGGTCCAAGAAACGTCCTGGGGACCACACCGGGGAATTCATGATGATCATACTGGGAAAAAGAATAAATGTACAGTATGCATTCAATTAAAATTTGTTTTTTAAAATCTAGAATCAGGAATTCAACATTGCTTTAATGACTCAAGATTAACAAAACGTTTGTTTAAAGTACACGTTGGAACTTAATTTTAGAGATGTACAACACCTTTTTATATAAACGATTAAAAAAACAACGAGCAGGTTTTTACAATTCTTGATAAGAACCTAAACGGGTATTTTAGTGGGGTATGCCCCACTAGAATTCACATGTCCCGGCAACGTTAGTAAATGACTGGGTAATCTCACAATTATTTAAAAAAAAGAATCGTCTTTGTGCAAGCACCATTAAAACCCACAATTTAAAAAATATATTGTGTACTATTACAAAAACATTTACAGCCGTGAGAACCATGAAAGCATCCGTGCAACGATAAAAGATCGCAGGGACCATAAAACTACCTTTTCTAAGTTGAGCCTGTGATAAAGAATGTCATGCATCGCTTGCAAGTTAAAGCTCTCTTCAACTTTGGTAAAGGGACATATCAATAAATGAACAAAAATGGCGAAAATTATAAGAAACAGAAGAATATAGTCCTTCGAATTTCTTTTCTCAGCCATGATGGATCCATCTGGGGGTCAAAGTTGAAAGCGATAAAGTTCACAACTGCGGAAGCGTGGATGCGCTCACCGAAGATTTTGATCCAAGTACCTCTCAGGTGGTGCTGTTACTTCCGCAGATACCCATCGCCCTTTCTGCAGCACTTCAAAATTTGGAAAGGGTTCCAAAATGTTGCAACGAACCTTTAAATATTGAATTGTGTTAAATATATGTTAAACGTGTTTACATTTAAATTGAAACTTCAGGTGGAGCGAGTTAATGTTAGTACTTTTTGTATTTAAACTTTTCAGTAACCCCGATAGTCCAAATGAATATATGAACCCACCATTTAACATGTATATCATCATAATTTCAGTACCGATCAAGGGAGAAATAATCTTTTACGCTGCTCCGAGTTGTATTTATGAACAAAAGTGAAAAATAATTCTAACGCCGTGGCATGCATGATGTTGTGTTTCTAAGACAACACGTCTTTTTTGAGTGTCTTAAGTGTCCATTTTGTGGTAACTTGCTCTCAGTCTCAGGCAATAAAGTAAAGGTACCGCATACATACACAGTGAGTGCAGCAGTACTATAGGCATCTGGCCTTTTGTTCTACACAAAGGTACATCTGAAGGTGAAACTTAATTCCTATCTGTTAAAACAAATACACTTCTTAACACTCGGGTCCGGGAACTGTGGCCTTAAATGTTAACACGTGGGTTATCCTTTGTCCCGCGCGTGGCGGGGTTTCATTGGTTCTTGATTTGACTGACGAGCACAGCTGTCGAATCAGTAGAAGCCACAATCTTAAAAGAAGGCTTACGCGGAAATCTAAATGTTACTTTTTTTTTTAAGCCGGGTTGCAAATATTAGCATGAATGTGATTTTTTTATGTGTCCCTGTAACTTGATTCATGCCTTGTGGAGGATTACTCATTTTTTTGAAACTGTCAGTGTGATCCAAGTAAAATTAAATGTTTAGCAACTTCATCCAGTAAAATGCAGTATTTAGCGTGTGTGATGTGCATATTATTTCTCACAATTGTCTTCTACAGTCAATGCACTGATGCCATAGACGAAAAAGATCTGTGTTCAACGTGTAGAAGAATAAACGATAACTTCGCCAAGGTAGGTTTACTTAAACTTGTTGTTTCGTTAGTGGTGCAAGTACCATGGATGTTATTTTGATGGGTAATTTCTTTTGTTTGAATTTGGCATGATGTCTACAAAATGTTTTTTTTTATGATTAACAACGAGTTTATACTGTTACATAATTTAGAGAAGACGTTTCGGGGGATGCTTCCAGAGTTTCATAGAAATCTATTACTTCATTTTAAGGTATATTAATATTATACGTTCTTGCTAGCATTATACAGTTCATACAATGAGTTGCATGTATCTATTTCTAATTAAGTAAACATTTAAGTTCGATCAAATTATTATTATTATTATTATTATTATTATTATTATTAACTAGTAGTATAAAATCAGCAAAAGGGCATAATTTCCATAATCGTATTATTCAAAATAAATAGTTATGGGGGGGAAGTGAGTGAGTTTTCTTTAAAATTAAAGGGCGCTATAATCCTAACGCTTAAAGCTTTTAAATTTCCAGAGCAAACATTGGAGTATCGCACCCAAAGAGAAGAGCACATCTTCGGTCCTGAAGGTTTCAGGCGAAGTTTCTATCTTCAGCTACTGAAGAACAGGGAGAGGCTTCAGTTTATTCAGTTGCGCAAATAAATTCAGTGAGTTAAGTTCAGTTAGCATCAGGTGGAAGGAAAACTGGAAACCTTTTGGCCCTCCAGGACTGGAGTTGTGTAGACCTGTACCAGAGTAAATAACTCTCATCTTATAATCAATTACATCATTGGGTCTCAGTTCTCTCTTGGAGAATCTCAGTGTCTCCCTCCCTCCCCCCCAATAGAATCCTTAATCACCAGTGCTGCTTGCTTGTCTTTTGTGATCTTGGTTTCCAGTATTTCAGATGGAGTAAAAAGCAGAAGGTACAGGGATACTCCAGGACTAGGAATAAGAACGGTAGCTTTATAAAATCATTGTAGATTCATTTTGTGTGCACTCTTAATCATGCTTTGATTTTAAAAAATCTTCCCGATGTTTTCCAGTATTATTTATCCAGTATTTAGTTTTATACTATGAAAGGAAACTAAAATATTTAGTGAAGCCAGCAATTAAACCATTTTGGAGAAAAACAGTAAATATCAGGGTGCATTCTCGATAGGACTGTTTGCCTATATTAGATAACTTCATCTTTCTTAACTCTCTTTAGATGTATGCGTAATTTAGAGCAGTAGTGGAACTAATGTTGGCTTGATTGGTTCTTTTTTTTTAAATCTCTCCAGGGATTAGAGGATACAGCAAAAAAGAATTTTGGGGGAGGAAACACTGATTGGGAAGAAAGAAGACTATCAAAATATGAAACCAGGTAAAGTTATTTTCAAGAACTGAAGGAAACAATTAATCCTGCATTGTATGTCCAAAGAAAAGAACACTGAACTGTGAGAAAACCCAAAACTTTGTTGTAATATTTGTATTGAAAACAGATCAGTGAATGAAAAGGGGTACTTCTTTCTGGACCAGTGAAATTACAGTTCAGATTTTACATATATTACAATTTAACTTCAATCCTGAATTTGAAGAGCTCAAGGCCTTTATATTGGGTTCTTTTTCTTTTTTCAAGAAACTTGATTTTCTTTTAATGCCATTCTTTGTTTTTTGCTGATATTTTTTTCCTGTGTACTTTACTTACTTGATAAAAAGGATTCACATTGTCTCTTAGCCCAAGTCTGAAAGATCAAGGGATTTGACTCAGCCAGCCATTAGGGTTCAGACAGCTGAGAATTCTGATATTGAATTATATGCGAATATTGAATGGTGAAATGGAAGTGATCAGGTATGAGGTAATGACTAACTAGATTTGAGAGGGTTTTGTCCTAAAAATAAACAAAATACTGGAAGAAAAGTTGTGCAGACATCCTGTACTACAAAGATATTTCCTAGATTACAACTTGAATGCCTAAGAAACAAGTACATTCCCCAGATCTCCACGGATTCATGATATATAGGAGATATTTATAAATGGATTTTAGTGCATCATATTATTACTGGTTGTTCTTTCTTTTGTTCGGCATGCTTTGAACTTGCACATCTCTTGCTTAAACTGTTGTGCTGGCGTATCATCACAATTGTCAGAAGCCCTGTTATTTATTTTCTCTTTACAACACAACATGTGTAAAACCTATTCAAACAAATAATTCCTGAGATAAAGAACTAAAAAACAAACCAAAAACAATATACAGTATGCAAATTAAAACAGGAAAAAGGAGAAGAGACACTCATAAAAGTAAAATGTCCACTAGATGATTAATTAAGAAGACCTACAACTGTAAATGTGGTTAATTTCATGAAAAGAGTAATTTAGTGTGAGGGACAAAATACTATTTTCATTCAATAGCCCCAAGTTAAAATTAATATATTACAGGCACATGCATATTCAGAAATTGATTTTCTTTTTAAATTGTAAATAAAACCTGACAGTTCCAGTCCGTTCTATCTGGTTCTTCTGCTTTTTGGCATCTCCTTCTGTGCTTGGTCTTGTGGAAGTAGGACTGCATTGCTGATTGCACACCATCAAGAATAACCAACAGATTGTTTGTATTTTTTTGTCATTGTGTACAGTGAGATTCGCCTTGTGGAGATTCTCGAAAACCTGTGTGACAGCAGCAGCTTTGAATGCAATCAGATGGTAGAGGAACACGAAGAACATTTTGAGAACTGGTGGTTCAAAAAGTTAGTACTTTTCTTCTTTTGATTGAGGGACATTAAGAGAATGCTTCCAGGAATTGAATGTACTGTGTGTAAGGTTACCATCTTCAAAATGGAGAAAACTAGCCTTTCCTATCACTTGCGCACAGCATCAGCATCAGAAAGATATAATGTAACATCAGAAGACTGCAAACATTTGAGTATTTCCTAGTTTACAATGTACTGTACATAAATAGGAAACACTATAACAATGCATTTTTACTTTCCTGTTTACAGATCCAGGTTGCTTTTTTCTGTCTACTCGTCTATTGTGATTACTTTTACTCTAAACCCCACATACAAACATGGAACCTTATACAGTATTTGAATTTCGATGGATATGTTAAAGCATTGTATGTACATCTGGAAGGCAGCAGTCACACAGCCAGTAATTTGTGAGTATGCATGTGTGCTGTTGGTACAGATGGCAGCAATGCATTTTTGTTAGTTTTAATTTACTGTCACTTAAAACACTAAACTGACAATATGGAAGCAGTGAGATGCATGGTTACATCCCAACAGTTCAGGACTCCAACATCTATAAAAATTTTAAATTATTTTAATGGCAAGTATACAAAATAACTGGTCAGGGTGGGAGGATTCGGGCCAATTGGCTACCCTGTTTTTTTAAGAGTAATCCTGGACTTATACAGCAAGCATAAATAAGAATATATATATACTATTATGTAAGGTCTTCATGGCTTCCTAAGGAAATATTTCAAAGGTGTATTGTAAAGCCCATATTTAAAGAATCATAGATTTAGAAATATTATGTTTTGGAGGCACTCTATAGTTTTAATTTCATGAAAGATCAAGTACTGTTTTAGTACAGATTCTTTCTTTACTTTCCGGTATTAATTGTTTTCGGATGGAGCTATTATTAGACCCTAAAGTATTCATTATAATGGAGGTGAATTACAACTGCTAAATATGCCGATAGCATTTTAGGTCTCAGCAGCAGAAAGCTTATATGAGTGACACAGAGAATGGTTAAATCTGGGTGAGGATCTGCTATGTTCATATTAGTGTGACATGATGTACTCAAAAGGCACAATCTCTAATGCTAGAAAAAAATCTCTCCTGAGCAAAACATGTTTGAGTCATAAACAGTGCAGTCCATAAGTATTTGGACAGTGACACAATTTTTGTTGTTTTGGCTCTGTACTCCAGCACATTGGATTTGAAATAAAACGATGACTTTGAGGTTAAAGTGCAGAATGTCAGCTTTAATTCGAGGGTATTTACATCTGTATTGAGTGAACCATATAGGAATCACAGCCTCTTTTATACATAGCCCCCCCATTTCATGGGACCAAAAGTAGTTGGACAGTTGGCTGCTCAGTTGTTTCTTGGTCAGCTGTGTGTTTATGGAGCCTCAAAGGAAAAAAATAGCTAATTTTGCTTTGCTGTCAAACAATTTGTATCCATAATAAATTAATATTAATGATAAGTAAAACATATTGAACATTTTAATTTGGGTAAATCAATGCGTAGTTTTGATTTTTATTAGAGGAAAATCATACTTTGTGCTCAACACAATGATATTAAGTGAATTAGATCAATAATAAATTCAAAGATAAAATACAGTAATGTAGACTATTTAACAAAACATCATTATTGCAACAGCCTGTCTCATGGTAGATGTTGAACACTTGTCGGTCTGTCATTCTAGAACGTGACGAAAAACTTAGTCATCGGTTCTATTCTGAACGTAATGTAAATTATGTGTGGATTCTTAGTATGAAATCCTGAAGTCTAATACATAATGGTTTGAAATATCTACTTGAAGATCTGTAGGTACCTATAGATAAACCATGTAATAATCTATTGTATTTGGTGCCTGCTATTGTTTATGTGAGATACTAGACGGGTACAGTGCAAAAGAAATGCGTATAAAGATCTGTTTACACCTTTACTGCTGTATGCTGACCTCTATATATACAGCCTGGGCAAGCATGTGCCTGTGCAGTGGTCTCTGAGCCCTTTGTGCCCTGTTGTCAAATCTCATCCGGGTATGGAGAGTAGGGCTTCCACAGTGTATTTGTCTTGTTCTCCTCTCTCAAGAAAGACATTGAAACACCAGCTGCATAAGGGCTTGCATTGTCCTGGAATGACGTGGCATAAAGGGCATAAAGTGAAGTCCCAGCACTTGATCAATATAGCTCCTTGCGTTTAGGCAGCCAGCAATCGCTTAAAGTGGAGTTGTGTAGCAACTAGGCACGTATGCCCAGACAATCACATTTGTACCTCTCTATAAATGTCTGTTGTATTCAACACTTGTCATAATGTACTGCATGTCTGGACCAAACCCGCTGATGACCACCAACAAGGTCTATGGGAAAACCTTCAGTCATCGCTAAAGAGAACATGGTTCCTCTTCTGGTGTGTCCGCTTAAAGCAATATAGCCGAACCCTCTACATACTGAAGGCACAAGGGCCTTGTTCTCTTGAGAAGTGTGACATATTGGCTCCTTTCAGAGTTGTTCTTCATTTTCACCAGGCTTGACATTCAGCAAGTTAAATCAGCTCATCACCTATGCCCAGTCAGCTCTTTCCCTAATGAGGTAATTTAGTGCTTATGCTAAAGAGTGGATGACTGTATCTTGAAGTCGGTCAAAGTGACACCAAAAACAATTAATCAATATGCAAGATCTGTACTACATCTCTAATTTTTAAAAACAAATGTAAATATTAAAGTTTCTGTTGATGTTCGGTATAATTGAGAGTAATAAAAAGCAGATTCATGCAATTTTTGAAAATAATTGGTTTTTAATTTTAAAAATAAAAGTAACGCAGGGTTATAAGCAGAAGAGCATATTCAAGCAAGATTTTGTTGTGGTAGTGAAACAGTGCTTTTTATTTTCTATTGATCTTTAAAATGAGTTTTTGATTTTTATTTCATTTATCTCTATTACTGATGCAGTATATTTCCTGTCCCATGTTTTTCAGGAAAGAGAAATACCCTGATCTTTTTAAATGGTTCTGTATTGACACCATTGAAGTGTGTTGTCCTAAAGGAACATTTGGCCCTGACTGCAATGGTAAAGATTTTTTGCAGAATTAACAATTAAAATTCTACATTTATACATATTTTTGTTATTAGGTATGTTTGTGGTTTATATTTTTTAACTTTTTTGTCACTACTGGATATTTTTAAAGATGTTTAAAAATTTACCATTAGTGCATAGCATCACGTATCGGTTTTGACAGTTCAAATAACAGTGATCAGCATGTGGGTGTTACTTTGGGGTTTCAACTATTGCTTGTTCAGTACAATTTAATGAGATTCTTTAGTCATAGCACTACTATGTGCTTTATTGAAATTAAAGCTTAAACATTTTTGGACTATAATTTTGGATGTGTATTAAAAACAGAAGAATGAAAAGTACAATGAGAAAGTTGTGCATCACACCCTAGTACAAATACTTGTGATTTAGACAGTTTTCATTGTATTGTTCACTATAACCCTATTACTATTAACACATTACAAAGGTAGGGCAGTAAGTGACGTGAACTTGTGAATATTAAAGCAAAAATGCTTCTCAGGTGGGGTGTACCATTTTATTTGACAACATAGTCCTCTTACACCTCCACCTAATTTTTCCAGACCTACTGTATGTAATGTTATGGGTTCCTAGGTGATAAAGTAGTTCCCCATCATTTGGACCTTGTTCTCATCAACAACATTCTGACCTGCAGATGAGCCTCCTACACCCAGTGGAACAGCTGCATATATGGGCCTTCCATGTTGCAATGCAGTTTTGTCCTTATTGTGTGTGAGGGCGTATTCTCTCATCACAGAATGATTTCCTGTGTCTCGGAGGCTGTTTTCATTTTCTGGACAGCAAGCAATCCGCGCAAGAGGCTTCACAAGCTCAGAGCGTTAGTGACGACTGTGGGGTCCATTAGGGTATGAAAATGGTTCAGGTCTGCAAGGACATTAAGGGTGCTATTCTGAAAAAATGTCTTCAATACCTGTGAAATGTATCTAGTGGATAATTGTGAAATTCATTTTCAAACCTTTTTTTTTATTCTCATATGGCGTCTTTTAGTTGAGACCATTCTCAAGACACTTGATATACATATAATACAAAAAAGCTATGTATTCATGTGAAATTAAGAGAAATAAATAAGATTAAGAATTGGAAGCCATCCCACTGAGATTTTGGGTTAAGAGTAAAAACATCTTCAGAGGCTGCATTTTCAATAAACTCTGAAAGGATATTCCGAAGATGAGGGGCTACCAATGAAAAGCATCGGTCCCATATGTACAGTGTGCACTCCCTGAAGTGTTGAGGATCCTAAAACCAGCAGAGCACAGTGTGCAAACTAGGAAATATGGGGATAGTAATTTTGCTTGATGACCTACCCTTGTAGCTGACAAAGAAAATCGGTCAATATGTTAATAGCTTTAAAAAATGTATCCATTTCACAGTATTCTGTTCTGGCTGCAGCTTGTATTGGGGGATCGGAGCGCCCGTGTCATGGCAATGGAGCCTGTGATGGCGATGGCACCAGGAGAGGGAGTGGTAAATGTAGCTGTCATGCTGGATACGAAGGAGAATTCTGCTTGGACTGTGCTGCTGGGTTTTATAATGAAGAACGGAATGACACTTTCTCATTGTGCACAGGTAACAGTCTGCCATAATTTTGGGAAGTTGGTATTGTACCTGAACATCTGACTAAATTAGGCACTGATGAGTTGTTGGACTTTTTAACCTTGTATTGTGGAAAATTTGATTCTCTCTTCAGATACATTCAACATTAAGAAGATAAAACTTAATTTTCTTGCCCCTGAAATGTAGTTTTTCAGATATTGTGGTAGAGTACTCTGTATATTTAAAGTAGAAATTGTTGTTGTAGTAGTAGTAGTAGTAAAGTAGTAAAATTGTTTAATCATTGTATATTTATGATTTTGTGTCACAAAACCAATATTTGCTTTCATTAAACTCTCTGAAAAGTCTTGAGGGTAAAAACAGTTAATCATTTGATAATGACTATATAATCATATCATTATCAAATAAAATCAATTTTATCATGATTATAGAAGTGTTTTCAACATTTTCCATCCATCAGTCCATAAGCTCCCCTTATTTAGTCGTTCATTTAAGAATTTAAAGGTTTGAAATAAACACTTGTTTACATATAAAATGTGATTTATGTGTTTGCAGAATGTCATAATTCCTGCAAGACATGCAAGGGCCCAACTAACACAGAGTGTGATGAATGCAAACCTGGCTGGAGTGAGGATGATGAAGGAGCATGCAACGGTAGGGCAACACCAAGTATCTCAATTTTCCATGGAAATTATACAGAAATGTTGTTCATATCCGCAGTTTAAACAGGGATACTCTATGTTATGGTGACCCCGAAGTGCAAAGCACACAAAAAAAACGCATATTAGAAAATGGGCACACAAGAAAAAGTAGACGCACACTAGAAAAACACCAGTAATTACAAATTTGCTTCATTCTTCCTGCCACTTCTTTCCAGTCATGTCGGTCATTCTCAGTCATTTGCTTTTGGGAGAGTAAAAGCTGACGAAAGGTATTAGTTATTAGTTTATTTAAATATGTAGAGCTATGTTTTCACATCATTTTCACGTGTGTGTTAATCATAGCTCACTGGAGCTGTACAGTTCTATTTAAATGACCGGTTTAGCTACCTGTAAAAAACATCCATTTAAAACAAATCGTTAATTTGTTAAACTGCTGTTGAATTAACACCACTAAATTAGTGTATTAAACCAATTTGTTTAATTGCCTTGTTTCATGAAATACCCCTATATCGAAGGGAATTCCTGTCAGCACTGTTATACCTACAACCAGTAGCTAGCTAGCAGTACATGCCTGAAGATTATGAGACTTAAAAAGACATTCAAATAGTCCTTATATTTAACACAATTAAAACACACTTGCATAGCAGTTGAAAGGGATGACATTTCTAAAAGTTAGCTAAGTAAAGACCTTAAAAGAAATATTAAAAATATAACACCTTTCTCCAGCTATCAAACTCCTAAAAGTAAATAATTAAATGACTGATGAGATGGTAGGCTAGAATTGGCAGGAAGAATTATGATGCAAATCTGTAATTGCTGGTGCTTTTCTAATGTGTGTTGCTTTTGCTCTTCATGGTCACTGTAGTTTATCTGCAAGCATGTGAAATCCCAGTTCTTTCAGCAAACATTTACACTATGATACATTAAAGCATTACAAGTAGTGTTAAGTCATTAGGACAACTTTGATGGGTTATGGACTTTATGAAAATCAAAGCTTAAAGGAAAGAGCTAGGTACTGTATATCTGACTTAACCTGGGCAGGAATTACTTTAATGGTTTTTAAAGAATATCTTATAAAGAATTATCCTTGATTCACCAGATAAGAAAACATGTTTCAAAATGTAAAAATGATTTCAAAATAAATATATTGTCTTGATGTATAAACTCTTCCTTTTTTTTGGTTAAATCTCCAGGTGTGTTGAAAGTTAGAATGTGGTGATGTGTGAATATGTAACAGATCTAGAAATAATATCTAACCATTCAACTGGGTTAATAAAAGGTTTATTTATTCATTTATGTATCAGATGTGGATGAATGCTCAAATGAAACATCTCCTTGTGAGGAAAATCAGTATTGCCTAAATACAGAAGGTTCCTTTTCCTGTAAAGGTGAGTTTTAGTTTTCTATCATTTTAAGGAATCCGTTAGTTCTAATGACTTTGGGGAAAGTTCCAAGGGATTCTTAAAGGCCTTATCTTCAGTAACCCTTTTTAAGTGAATCAACATAAGAATATGGAAACAGACAGTAAAACAAAACTAATTGACCCTTATTATAAGTTTCATATTTAAAAAAAATAAGAAAAAATTTAAAACATTGTGCTTGTGGTGCACCACGTTTATCATTGTTCTGAATATGTTATGCAATTACAATAACTAAGATGAGAAAGGGCATTTTGATAAGTTTCTATTGAACTTGACGAGCACATCTGTGGGTAAGCAAATTGTTGGTAAGTGTGCTACATGGCACTGCATTTCCAGTCTTCCAGGAAGTTTAATTTTTTCATAACCATTTAGAATTTGCTCCTTTTGAAATACACTTAAGACAAAAAAATCTTTTAAGCTCATCCCTGCTCATTATTTATATATATATATTGGTTTGCATATTCTGTTTGAATCATGCTTTTTTTCTGACAACATGCCATATAAAACAAGACTGTATCAGGACTAAGCAGAATACATTATCAACTTTTTAAAAAATGTATGTAGTGAGAACGAAATGATTTAAATTCAGAAAAAAGTGAAAAGATTAATCTTTTAAAATTGCCTTCTTTGTGCCTTTTTTAGCTTGTGACAGAGCATGTGCCAGTTGTACCAAGGAAGGTTCTGATAACTGCGTGAGCTGTGCACCTGGCTATAATTTAGAAGATGGGAAGTGTACAGGTAGGAGGATAGTCAAATAAGATTTAACATGAAAACTTCATCTTTTTTCACTAACTTTTTGTCTATAAAGTGTTTCCCTTTTTAAAAAAAACAGCGTATGACATTTAAAAATTAAGTTTACAGTAGGTGCTCAGTATAATTATACAGTACATTGGTAATAGTTTTCCTTTGCTTCTAAAATGAGCTATGCCTTATTTAAGGTCAGGTGGTTGGCATCGAAAGTGATCAACATCCCTTACCTCTGTTGCATGGCATAATTTCCATAACAAACTTGTTAAATGCTTTCCTATTCTGTAATTTTTTGTTGGTCCCTGTCCCTCAAAGAAACTTCACATTAATCACATCACACTATATTCATTGCTATGTAACATCCAGCACACACCTACAGTATTGTTGCCACTGACCTTGAAAACATTTTATGGAATAGACTTGTAATCTTAAGTGCATCCAGTCTTGAATATTCATACTCTGTTTAAGTGTCAAATGAAAGCAAAGACCAGCTACACTTTGGAAAAACGCATATAGCAAAATCTATACTGGTTACATTTAATTAGTAAGTTGTTCAAATTTCAGAAACAATGAGAAAAGCAGTTGACAGTCATAGAGAATTTCAAGTAGGTAGCCGCGTCGGCATGCGTAGGCTGAAAAGGAACAAGTAAAGGTTTATTCCATGCCGAAAAGATAAGACATAACATTTCAGCTGTGGAGCCTTCTTCAGGTGCCAGGGAGGAAAGTTGTCATTTTTCTTTTCAGCATTGAATAAAGCTTTACTTGTTCCTTTGCAGTCATACAGAATACACAGTTGGATGCCTGCAAGATCTGTTAAGCTAGAGCAACAATAATAATGGTGTTCATAGTTTCTGAGAGTATTTTTCCCTACATGCAATGCACAATGCACTGTTGGTAAGAGAAAAGATATTCTTAGTGACTGCTATCTATAGTATGTGCTTCTTCAAAGTTTGTGATGAGATGTTATCTTAGCGAAGTGAAAAGGTACACAACATGCGAGTTGACAAATTAGGACAGAGGTCTTTTAGCTGCCCCTCTAAAATGCTTAAAACATTTACAAAGCACTCAACAGTTGAAGCAAGAAAGCTTGGTTCATTTGATTTAGTAATTGTGTTAATTTTAGTAATGTAAAATAGGCTACCTCCCAGCTGCAGCATATCAGAATCACACTTGCTGATCCTAAATTGGACTGTTACTATTATGACAAAAAAGTCATCTTGATCAAACTGGTACTTTTTACCATACTGTTGTGACAAAGCGGAGTAACTGGGAGTGATGAGCTCATGTCAGACCACAGGAAGCAGAAGAGAAATTTCACTGTGCAATCCACAGAGGGCTCTCGGGGGGAAATCTGCAGCACCTATAGTAAGCTGGTTTCTCTCCCTCTAAGAGCCGGAGAGCATGTACTCCCATGGTATTAGAGTGGTAAAGCCTGGTTGAGACAAACTTTCAGCAATAAACTCTATTAGTTTTTTAATGACGGAAAACTATTGTCATTGATGGTTATTATGTCAAATTGTCATAAATTAAAGGGGTAGTGAAACAGCGGAAATTAAGGTTCAAGCTCAGTGAGGGAAAGGATGAAACATCAGGTTGGTCCTACTTAAGCTTGGCCACATTACATATATTAGGCGAACTACAATTATTACAAGCTTTACAAAGGTTTATTTGATTTTTTTAAAACTTGATTTTACAACTGTTACTTTCCAAGTTTCTCTACAGCTCTACAATTTTATGATTTTTGTCCCAATCACCTCTAGAGTTAGTTACACTGGGTTTTTTTTTTTAATTTAAAATCTACACTTTAATATTAGTTATCTCCAATCTAGGTACAAAGACTTTTCTCATACTTGGGTTGGTTCATTTGAAGTGGGCTAATTCACTGGTGTGCTGTAACTTACCCTTAAGTTCCTCATGTGTTACAGTGTTTCTTTTGTCTTCAAGGTACATTTGGTCTCTTGTGCATATAATTATGCATTTCAATTATTTCAAGAGGAGTAAACCTTGTTAGATTTATTTCTTACAATATTTGCTTGAAGGTATCGAAGTTCGAGTAGCTGTCTAAGCATGTATAGGCTGCAAAGGAACAGGTAAAGGTTTATTCTATGCCAAAAGGAAAACAACAGAAACATTGTTTTGGCTGTGGAACATTATTCAGATGTTGTGACATGCGAACCAGAAGACAAAAGTGGGATCTACATGTAAGTGCATTTAAATCCAAGAACAGATACTACTGTTATTAGTAGACACTTCAAAAAGAAAAAAGCTACCCAGCCATGTTATATTATGCCAGTACCCTGGTAAACAGCTGTATGAGATCCTTACATCAGTTAACAACCAACTACCGAACAGCGCAGATGACCCAAATGCGCTCCTCTCATCAGTGACCTTTCTTATGTTCTTTTCTTTGCGTCTTGGTATGTAATGTTATTTTTTGTGGTCTGTTGTTATCAGATGTTGATGAATGCAATCTGCCTGACAAAGTATGCTTGCGGGAAAATGAGGAGTGCACCAACACCCAGGGCAGCTACAAATGCTTTTGCTCCAATGGTTTTGAAGATAAGGATGGAGTCTGTGTAAAAACAGAAGAGACAGGTAAACATTGAAAAGATATTAGAAAGTTGTCAGTATGCATTAATCAAAATATTACGGTAATAATATTTTGTTTAATATGCTATTTATAAATAATGATGTTTTCTCTTGTGATGGATTTACATAATGTTAGTAGACTTGGTTCTTACATTTTATTATAGTCCCTCTTCTGAATAAATCTGTGTATGTGGGAATAAATCATAATTAAACTGTGCCTGAATACATCTGACTGGGAAATGGCGTTTGGTTATAAAGTAATTAACACACATTTTCCTGTTGGGGACAGTAATGCAGATATCCATCTGTCTGTGTAGGTGGTATCAAACTATGCTCTTTAATAGTGATTTTTTAGGTTAGTCATAAACTTATTTACACAACATCAGGCGACAGGTTTATAGGTACATTAGTGATTTCAAAGCAGGTAGCCCTGATGAGAGATTTAACAAATTAATATATCGTCAATGCACTGCATTCAGATATTTTCCATTTACTGTTTTCTCATTAAAATATTTGTTTTTCAGAGAATTCGGATTCCTCAGCAATAGACTCTTCAAAATTATCCACTGAAGGAGTGCATGAAGACTTATAGTATTTTTTAATTCAGTTCTCCAAGACCACTTCGTTAAATTATTTGAACCCGTTCTGCACTTGCATATTTAACAGCACTATTTGGACCAGATTTTTTAACTAAAATATTGGAGGGGGGAACAATTGATGAATAAAGTTTAATTGAATTTATTCTGGTAATGGGGATGTTTTATAGTCACCCTTGTTATTTTACCTTTTTATTCAATCACTGATTCTTTCCTATTTTATTTAAGTATTATCAAAAATAACTACTTCATCTGTCTATTTATCCATCCATCTTCAAATCACTTTATCAAAGTCGCAAACCGATATGTTTTTGGACAGTGGGAGGAAACCGGAGCACCTGGAGGTAATCCACACAAACCAGGGGAGTACATGCAAACTCCACACAGATAGTACACCAGGTCTAGAATTGAACTTTGGGACCTAACATTGTGAGACAGCAATGGTAATCTTTGTGCTGCCGTGCTGCCCTGTAACTACATCACTAAAACTTAATCAGCTTTATCATGTAAGGAGTATTGAATTCAATATACATAAGTAGTGATAAGATGGTTAAAGATCTGTATTAAAAATGTTTTCATGGTCTGAAACAGAAAGAATAGGAAGAAAAACACTGCTGTTACTACCTGAAATGATTTAAAGCATTTTTACAGTTTGTAACAATGGCCACATGGTGCTGCTGTAACCTAGTGAAATGCATGTCTATAGCAGAGGTCTTCAGCTGGAACTGAAATGTTGATATGAAGTTAACCTAATTCAGTGTGGCTTGCTCCTTGGAATGTGTTTTAAAGATCTATAGTTTAATCTTCAAAGATTACTGAAGCCAATGTGTGCAGAGAGATTTTTTTTTCTTAGTTGTTCTAGGGTATGCAAGGACATGATTTTCCATAATATAGTAAGTTTTCTATTAGATCTTTAATAACTTTTTTTTCCGAAAGAATGCTTTAATTGAGCTTTTCTAGGCACAAAACAGCCCCAGAGCTGGAGTTGAATTTTTTCTGAACAAGATGTGGGATTAATAGTTAAGTTTTTCATTGTGTGTGTGAAAGATCCGTTTTCAATGGCTTTATTGCTGATTTTCAAACTGCTGTGCTTAATTATGCAGCTTCTTTAAAAAAATATTTTATTTGGGAATAGAGAAAAATCTAAACATACGTTAATCAAACTGGGGAAGATGTGATTATATAATGAAAACAAAATGATTTTAACACCTGATATATATATATATAATACATAAACTCTGTTTCTTCATAAAATGTGGAAAGACATGTATTGTCCAGTACATTAACATTTGGTACTGTATTTCAACCTTTTAAAAGTGTTTTGTGGCCCAGGCTGCCAAGGAGATATCCAAGTTCCACAAATGATAACTCGCTGTTGATTCCTGTCCTACTTCCATGCCAGTACAGTTCATCGACATTTGTGGGTCACTGCAGGGTCCTCCACGACCCTTCACAGAGCCACAGTCTTAATCGAGATGGGGTTTGTTAGCAGTACAACCACCTGTTTGCTGATTTGTGATCCATTGCTTGCATTACACTGGTTCTCATTCACTTAGTTTTCCATCGGTACATTTGTCCAAACAAGCTGAAGTCTTTTTCGTACATGCTTCTCATTTGCTTTCTGCTAAGGCGCACGTTCTCCAATCACTTCTGAATGCATTGCATACCTGTATCAACTCGGTCAAATTAAGTTCACCGCTCTAACAGTTCCATCTTCGTTTATGGCTGAGACTGCCGTTTCCTCAGCCAGACACATTCAAGCAAACATTAAGTACACTGTCCCTTTATATTTGCCTGCTCATTTAGTCACAATTAGAATTTGACTGAACTATTGAAAAAGCTTTTATAGTGGTACAGTCTTTACCTTCTCAGTGTTAGTCATGGAGCAAAGGTACTTAAGTGATTCATTCAGTTTGTGCCCTGAATTGCCTTATAGTTTCTTTCATATCAAACATCAGTTTAACTGGAGACTTCCTAGATCTCCAGTTAAACATTTCCAAAAATAGTCATGGATGATGTCTAGTGCTTACCAAATGCAAGATCTTACCTAGATGTAGATCTTGTATGAAAGAGAGGAGTTTTTCATTAGTTACTAATTTAAAGGTAAAGCCCTGCCAAAGTCAAACTTTTGTTTGTGACCATAGGATGGACTGGTGTCCCATCTAGGAAAAAAGTTATCTGTTCTTAGCTTCACCTTGTGCCTCCAGTCCCTCGATGTTATCTGGGTTACAGAGTGGGTTCATACTTGTATAGTACAGCCTTTTGAAGTTAATTGAACTTTGAATTGTTTGAACTTTCCTTTAATCAACATTTAATTTTGACTGGAAATAGCAACTCTCATCTCTGGAGAAACAACTGTCTGATAATGGATGGATGGTCACTTTCTCATACTTTTAGACTGAAAGGAGTAGATCCTGTTAGACCTAGTTTTACACAGCAGCAAGAAACACTTAGGGTGATCCTTGACCCCTAGTCTTTAAAAACCCTGAGTAATCATATTGATGGTTGTGATCAGGAAATAACAGTAATGAATAACAGGAGGCACAGGTTACTTTTACAACCCATGCTTCATGAATGAGGGACAAGATTTATAGTTCTAAATGTTGAGGTGTCTAATTTGAGCAGATGGAATCTGAGTCTTGGCAAAATCGCTATGGATGGTGTTGCTGTATTTGGTTCCTTTAAAGGAGCAAAACAGTACCTGCGCTCCTCTCTCACTTTGAGAAAACTGAGTGAACACTGGCACATACTGTTTTTCCATAAGGTGCTTGACATTATCTGTCCCCATGGCAACCAGCCCTGTCACTGATATGATAATATTTTTGCCAGGAAAATAACATATCTTTGTGAGTACATTTCTTCTGAATGTGTAAGAAACTTTACCTTACACTGCTGCCAAGTTTCCAATTATTATTATTCTCTAGGTTGGAGAATATATACACGTAAGAAATGTATTATGCTTTCAGATAAAGACTCAAACAAACATGAAAGTGTTTTCACAAGTTGTGAAATATGAGACACATTTCAAAATAATATACTTTTCTGTTAAAAAATGTTGGTATTTTATTCTAAGCTTAATTCCTTTATGTCAGTGCTGTAAGAATATGTAACATTAAAACTTTCAGCTTCAGTATTTTATTTTTGACATGTCATGTGTATAGTACAACCTTTTGAAGTTATAATTTTCCTTGAACCAATATTTGCAAAGATTATTATACCAATGAAAATAGACAAGTGTATGTATTTTATTTTTGTCAGTTTCTGTCATACGCTTGCAGTAGAGAGCTGCATCAGCATATATAGGCTGCAAAAGTTTTTTTTACAACATTTTGGCTGTGAAGAAGCTGCTTCAAACCTGAAGAAGTCTCCACAGCCAAAACATTGTCTCCTAACTTTTCCTTTTAGCATGGAATAAACCTGTTACCTGTTCCTTTCTGCTATAACTGCTCTATTTTGATAGTTATCGGAACATTGTATATTACTATAGCCTTATATGGTGGCGTTTGCCTGTGTACAAGATACAGTAGCTGTTGTGAAGATACATTTAATTTATTGTACAAACAGATGGCAGTCATACTGTACAAGCAAAGCAAATTACTAAAAGTTTTTTTTTTTTTACTGAAAGTAAAAAGGGAAATACATATATATGTTTTCTTCTCTTTGTTATTGTAGTGGGCTGGTACTACTAATCATGGCTGAGTTTATTTTACAGATGCTCTGTATTATCATCAAATGGGGTGAATGTGCCTTGGTGATAGTCACATACACCATAAGAGGGCACTATTTCTATGTAGTACTCCATTTTCCTGTAAACCGCTTCAGTGCTGTAGATACACTAATACTTTCTATCTATAGTATTGTTTCCAAGCTGTTATGGCATAGCAGTGCTGAACTGTTACAAAGTACAGGTAGAGCAATTAAGTTCAACAATACTGTATGATCATTCACCTGCACGTCTCATTGTCAGTCAGTGTACTTGTACAGTGTACAAGTGCTATACCTGTAGAATTTTTTTGGTTTTAAATAATTTTTCCCAGAAGTACAAAAGCTGTTTGTATGTCTATCATCTACTACTGAAGCCCACGGTGAAAACCTCTGAAATACTTTCAAAATTATATATTTAATCTTTAAAATGACACAAACTTTTAAAATATGATTGTTGTTAATATCATCTGCTTCATTTTGCTCAATGTAAATTAAATGAAAACCAAATGGCAAATCTTAATTACACTATTGGTTACTAGAATAAGGCAAGCAATCAGAAAGAATTTTGATTAATTTGTTTAGAAAACCACACTTTCCTTCTCATTGTGGGACGTTCCTGGTAAAATGTGTCCAGTTAAAACTATGGAAGGACAAAAATTATTTAGTTGCAAAATATTTTCCCATTGATGTGGATATACAGTATGCCACAACATTAAAATTATTTAGATCAATAGCAATTAATACAGGTATGTCACACATTTACTTGGTATGCTTAGACCAATGTGAATCCAAGAAATACCCCATGAATTAAACATTGTACAGTACGAGGTCAAAAATAAGGACACGTCGGAACTATTTTCTAATTTCCTTGAGAAATGCCTTTTGGGATACAGATGTGCAATGTGTTTTCCTACAAGTTTTCTGTGATGTGGTTACCCTTTCTTTTATACAATTTAACTTCAAAGATATAACAATAACTATGTACAAATTAAGGCAGAATGACTGGATATGCTTCTTGTGTTAATGTTAGGGAGGGAAGCTTTTATTAATATCAGCTTTCAAAAGAAAACTTTTTAAAAATTGTATAAATATGTTCCAAGTCAACTTACCAAAACACATGCATTTTACATCTGTTTACTATCACGTTAATGTCCACTGCAGATTTTGAGCCGTATTCTAGGGCAGATTGTATATTGTATTGTCATTAACTGCATACATACATAAAGACAAAAGTGAAATTAAAGGATTAGCATTTTTATGTGAGTTACAGTATCATTTTAATATGCATTGTGGCTGTATTTGTTTCATTTTTTCTTAATTTGTAAACATTTTCAAGTAAATGAAAATGATGGTGTGGGAGTTACTATTGTTGCTTTATATACGGTATCTTCGGCCCCAGGTTAAATACCAGACTGGGATTCCTTCAGTGTGGATATGCAT